TTTTTTATCGAAAGTGCAATGTTTAAGAATTTTTTTGGCGGAGAGTTTGGTTTGATACAGCAATTCCATTGGGCGTGGGAAATTTTTGAAAAGAGCATGAAAGAAATGTCTCAACCTCTGTCGATCACTGAAAAATTGTCCGAATTACATTCGGTTTGGACAGTGTGGCTTGTTTTTTTGCGTAGAATTGATTTCTGAAATAAAAAAGTAGGGGTGCTATTTGAAAAGTTCGACTTACGGCTGGGGCACCCCCCGCCCCGCGCCCCTCCCGCGGTTTGGGAAAATGTCAAATACGCCAAAAGGTGTCCCCCTCGATATTAATGAACACGTCTTTTACCGTTTGTCGAAATTCCGACTCGTTCGGCAGATATTCAAGGTGGCTCGTTTTTCGTGAGACACCCTGTATACCAGGTATATGATCGTTACGTAGGTATAAGTGGGCGCTTTTGCGCCCAAAATAAGGAGGATAGGCAACACGCAATCCCTCCAGAAATCACAACTACCTATGTGCATGGGTTAAAGTTGCGATGATTTTAGCGCCTTGAATTTAAAGGATAGGCAATATGGAACCAAACTAAAAATCGTGATGGTTTTTCTGCGCTTGATTACCATTTCTTCTCTTGAGCGAACTACTTTAATTCAAGTTGCAATAATGTGATGATGCACTATTTTCTTTTCTTTGTTTTAATTGAGGAAAATCCATCACTCGGGACAGAGATTTGTTTGCGCTCCAATTTATTTAGGCATTAAAACTGATACACCTACTTTATTTGCACGTTTTAAAAGTGTCTCTCCGCCCGTTGGAATGGTTCTTTTTTTCTAATTTTCTTAATTTTTATCGGTGAACCCGCCGGGAAATTTTTCCACGCAGGTGAGTAATGGGAAAAATGGACGGTAAAAAGTTCCTTTTTTAAAAAATAATTTTAAGTATAAATTTGGAAGGTCTTATAAAAGAAATAATAATAATAAATTCAAAATTGGTTTGGAAAAAAAAATTGGAAGGCAGCGCGCGGCCGCGCGATGTGCCTTAAACTTAATTTTGAAATGAAGAGGAAGGGGGGGGATGCAGAAGGAACTTAGTGAAATTTCAGAGTTCCTTGTTGAGAGCTCAGTCGGTCGTCCGCGGCTGCGTATTTAGGTAATCCTTAAAATTCTGAAACTTTCCTCTCTCTTTCCAAAAAAAAGCAAAAAGAAAAAATCAGTGACATTTTATTTTGTGGCTTTGGTTGCGTTCGATGAAATTAAGGAAAGAACAGGAACACGCGGGTTAAAAGGACACGACAAAAATAGAGGCATATATTTCAGCAGGTCTGCCGATTTTTGGCGGTAAGGAACATTCGGTGGAGAAATTCTTGTTAGGCAAAATTAGTGTGAAGGACGAAGGCGATGTCTTATTGTTAGTTCGCGCTGATAGTCACGATAGATCAGTCAGCATTCGGTAGTGCCGAATATCGAAAGACGCGTGCTGGCAGTCACGAATGTCGTGCCCAAAAATTTTAAATTGTTCGAGAGTTTTGGTTTCAATTATTAGTAAAAATAGTTTTAGTATTTTTTTAACATTAATATGAGCACTATTGGACAAGTGATATTTTGGTTATACTTTACATGCCTTCTGGAAAGCGTAAGTAAACTTTATACTTGATTCTATCGCTGTGAAGACATGGACAATGAAACACCAAACCACGTACATATCTCGGTTTAGAACCTTACACATTTTATTTATTTATGAGGAGGGCTTTAATCATTGTTTTTGCACCAAATTTCTTTTGAATTTTCTTCGTCCTATCAACAATATTCTTCCAAAATTCCGCAGGAAAATGTCTGTGTTATAAAGTACGATGGGTTTCGGCTCCATGTTATGATTAACAGGGTTTCGGTAACCATGTTATAAAGTTAGTGATGAGAAATAATGATTTCGGCACCAGTCAATCTTTTTGAGTCAGGATTGACAAACTGACTAAGGAATGTTCGATAAAGGATAAAACAAGAGTCTCAGACGAAATAGCTTGTATTGACGTGATGAAGGCACATATCACAGATTTCACAAATTAAATGTTATTAAGTTACACAGCTTTAAAGTTGGAGTGACGAGTTGCACTACTGATGGAATAAAACCGATTTGAGAGAGAGACACGGGTCGTGGGTCGTAGGGATGTTAAAGACCAGAGAGAGAGTTACACGTTTCGTGGGTCATAGGGATGGTAAAAGACCAAAGAGAGAGTTTACACAGGTCGTGGGTCGTAGAGATGGTAAAGGACCAAAGAGAGAGTTACACAGTTCGTGGGTCGTAGGGATGGTAAAAGACCAAGAGAAATGGGCAGCTCAAGCTTTTATAGACTTGCTGACGTCACAGGTGGTGAGACAACAAGTCTACACGCTATTGGCTGGCTATAATCAGTGGAGCTATCAGTTGCAAGTTCAGTAATAAAAGTAATGGGTAAATTAAGGTGATGGCTGGGAGATAGGACTGAAAAAGAGGAAAGTGTACGAAATCCAGCCATCCCTAATGATTGAACTGAATTATGCATGAAAAATTATAAGTTTAATAAAAGAACAAGTTACTGGTATTTCAATACCTGTGACAGTCTGGCAGTGATCATTTAAAAATAACATTTGAGAGAACATTTTCAAAAACAATAAGACATGAGACCTGTGCATGATTTTGTGGGTACTATAGGAAAAAGAGGGATTGTAGATTTTTTTTCTACAACCCAAGTAGCACAGGTTGCAAAAAATTGCGATTATCTCCATCAACTCCATGGTAAAATATACTTATAGCTTTTGCATCGGAACGTTGTGCATGTTGCTTATCTTCTTATTGGAGGGGGAATTTTTCTTGCAATATAATTGAAATAAGTTGAAATTTTTCTTGTTTGCATTAGAAATGACCTAGGTACTCACATCTATGCGAATACTCATTTCGTTGATTTCAGAATCGGCACTTGAGTATTGATTGAATGGTGCAAAAATATTGGAATTGAATGGTAAACAATTGTAATGTTACTTATTGCATGAAATTGCAACGAACTTTAATTTAATGTATTTTTGTAACACTGTCCTTACTCGGGCACAGATAAAACTTCCGAGCTGAAAATCGGCCACTCTCCGGTATCTGTTGATTTTCATTGCTGTTCATTATTATTTCGGCATTATATCATGCTTACCGAATGATGAAAATTCGGAAAATGCACTTCATTTTACACAGCCGCACTTGGAAACGACTGTTGCACTGTAGGAAGGTCTATCAGGTGCACATAGCATTAGACTACTCACTTTGAGGTAAGTTCGCGTAAGGCGCAATGAGATAACTATTGTGACACAAGCCCCGCTGTTTTTGCATATTCATCCAATTGAAGGCGAACTGCGGTGACCACAAGTCGCGTCGCTTCGAGGTGACATGGTAAAGGAAGCTGCGGGTGTTACCTACTTCATTACACCGGCTTGACTTCTTATTTGAAGGGATTGGAGGACAAGGTGCATAAGTGCCATTCTTGCCATTTCGAAAAAGAGGTGTTTGAAATTTTGAAGTTTAGAAATTACATACCTGTGAATCCTTGGGGCGGAAAGAAAGTTCAACCTGACTTTTTGATGCTTAAAAATTTGAATTTGGGAGCGAATTTTTCATAAAATATGCATGAAGGCTAGTTTTCTCAAAATAATTAATATCTCAATTTTGTCAAAAATTAACTGCACTTACTTATGCGCCTCCAAGCCCCATTAATGGGTTTTTGAACTGGAATTGGATTAAACCTGACTAAAGAGAGGATATAATTACACGCAGTATAAAAAAATAAATTTAATATTAGGGCTAAGAAAATTAAGGCAAGTGTCGACAATGCGATGCACGCCATTTCAACGTTGCCAGAATCCGGGACGGGTCGGCAGTTTCCTTTTCACACCCTTTACCATGTCGCTCCAACGCGAGGTGGCGCGTGACCACCGCAGTTCGCCTTCAATTGGATGAATATGCAAAAACAGCGGTGCTTGAGTCACAATAGTTATCTCATGGCGCCTTACATGAATTAACCTTCCCGAGAGGCAGTGATCGCGTTAAGTTGCGATTTGATCAGAGAATGTACCGCGATTTTATCAACGACGATTTATTGCAATATTACCGGCTAGACAATCGCGATAAATCGAGATTTCATCGCAAACCAAAATTCGCAATAGAATCGCGATTCTATCGACGGCGATGTAGCTGCCGGAATATTATCGAACAAAAATCGTGATAAAATTTCGATTTGATCATACGCGATTTCAAAGAGATAAAATCGCAACAAGATCGAGGATAGCTTGGACGTTGATGCTCCTAGCTATTTTATCGCCGAAAAATCCTAAAAAAAATCGCCACTTCATTCCAAATATCGCAATTTTTCCGTTGACAAATTCTACTCGGGCCAACGGGAACAATCGAATTTTATCGGTTGGTTATCGCGATTATATCGGTGGCAATATATCAAGATATTTTCGCATTAAAAATTGCGATATTCGGCGATTAAATCGCTACACATCGCATAATTTTTGGTTCAATAAAATCGCGATCAATTTTCGTCGATAAAATCGAGATTAAATCGCTATTTATCGCGATTTTTATTTCGAAAACATCGCGATAAATTGACGGGCGATAAAATCGCGATTTTATCTCGTCAAGATCGAGGATAATCGCTCAGATCTTGATGATCCTCGCGATTTAATCGCCGATAAAATTGGAACAAACCCCGATTTTTCCGCTGTAAATGCTACCTAGGTACCTAATCATCCTATTTTGTTACAGGCATTTGGATATGACATACCTGCTTCCTATCACCCCAACCACACGATCCCGAGCCATGCCATCGACCTGTCAACCTGGTCGGCTGACGACACGATCACAGCCATCCGCAGGGGCAGCATCACCGTCCGCCACTACATCACCAGCGTCCTGGACCACGCGCAGAGGATATCACCTCTGAACGCCTTCATCACCCTCCTACCGGACGAGGCTCTTCGAGCCGCCGACGCCATCGATTCCACCATCGCCCGAGGCCACTCACCACCCCTAGCCGGCCTCGCCATCGTCGTGAAGGACAGCATCAACCTCGCCGGGTACCCGACCACGGCCGGCACCGCCGCTCTGCTCCACAACCGCCCGCCCTCCACGGCACCCACCCTCCAGCGCCTCATCGCCGCCGGCGCCATCGTCATCGGCCAGACCAACATGCACGAACTGGCCTGGGGCATCACCAGCACGAACCTCCAACCCTTCGCCGGCCCGGTCCACAACCCCTACGCCTTCCAGAAGATCCCCGGTGGTTCGTCCGGGGGCACGGCCGTTGCCGTAGCGACGCGCGTTGTCACCTGCGGCTTGGGCACCGACACAGGCGGCTCCTCCAGAATCCCGGCAGCGCTGACCGGCACCGTCGGTTATCACCCCTCGGTCGGGAACGGTGGCCCGGAGCGCCGGTACCACGACGAAGACGCTATCGTACCCCTCAGCCCCATGCTGGATACAGTGGGACTCGTGTGTCTGGACGTCGAGGGCATCGCACTCCTGGATTCGATAATCACCGGGCGGCCGCGTGTTACTCGACCGGCGAAGCTTCGCGGGCTGAGACTCGGGGTGCCGCCTGTTTTGTGGTCGAACCTCGACGTGGAACTCGAGAGGGTTGTTCTGGGCGCGGCTCGGAAACTGAGCGACCACGGCGTTGTTCTCGTGAGGGATGATATCCCTAATTTAACGACGATCGGCAGGTTCGTCCAGTTGATAACCTACCACGACCCTTTGACGGCGTTCCCGGCGTACCTGCGGGCGAACGGGGTGGCGGGTGTGGATCTGCGGTCCATCGTAGCTGGGATCGCCAGTCCGGACGTCAGAACCGCCTTCGAGATGATTTTGAACGACGTGTACGGGCCGCAGTACCCGTACATCGTGACCGTCTTGCGCCCTTTCCTCCAGCAGCTGTACGCCGATTACTTCTCGAGGACCGGCGTTGACGCCATCTTGTTTCCGACGACGATCCTGCCCGCGGTGCGGATTGATTACGTCAACGGCTCCGGGAACGTTTCCATCAACGGCGGACCGCCGGTGGACACGGATGCTGCCTTCGAGAGGAATACGGACCCTGGCGCGTCTGCCGGGTTGCCGGGGTTGAGTATCCCTGCGGGTATGACGGCATCCGGTTTGCCGGTCGGTATTGAGATCGACGGGCCTGTTGGCAGTGATGAGAGGATGTTCGCTATCGGACTTGCGATTGAGAAAGTTTTGGGCCCGGTCCCTCCTCCGAAAGGATACCCGCTGTCTGTTTAGTTGTGCTTTATTTCGGCGAGCGACCGTGACGTTGTCGCCTTCAATGCGTGGATACAACAATTGATACTCCGAAGATGACCGAGTTGCATACACGAATAATGAAGGCGCTTTGGCTGTCCTTTCACCCACGACGTGGTGATAAGTACGAGTGATCGCAGCAGCTATTGGGGCTGCATCTTGCGAAGAAGAAATTAACCAAGAGCATTACAATGTTGAGAAGCCTGTGTTGTTTCTATTTCCTTGCATTCAGCTAAGGGATACTTGAATGGTTGCTGTCTGTGCCTCCTCCTGAGGAAATGTTACTTGTATAAAATGGAAAATTATTCTGAGGTTGAGAAAATTCTTGGATGCATTTGGCGTGCAAAATTTTTGTTCCCTACTTCCTTTTTTTAAAGGGGAAATTATCTTACTGGGCTTCATTGCATTACAACGTTTCAAAGTTCTCTTTCTGTTTTATATATCGACGGTGAAACTACCAAACCACGTATCTCGTTTGCGGTGTTTAAAAATCTACGCTCGCATTTTATTTTTTTGAGGTAGACCAAATCAATATCATTCCTTGAAATTTTCACAGAATTTTCTCCGCACGAAGAGGAAAAATCACAGAAATTTTCAAGACTGGACGTTAAGTAGTTTTTCATTTAAAAAATAAAGAATGACAGGAAGTCTGCGACGTCGCAAACCGAGATACGTGGTTTGGTAGTTTCACCGTCGATATTTTCATTTGTGATATTCTGCATTCAAAAATTACCTGCCCTGGCAGATTGTCTTTACAAAAGCAGAAAAAGTAGTTTGAGTTGTATTTTAAAAAGAATTAAGTAGAAAGCCTGAAAGTGTACATGTCTTCCTGTCATGTGTAGGTCCTCTATTAAAGATAATTGACTTAATTACTTAGGAAAATCCACTTAATTATGAGTTTTTCTTCTTCTTTTATAGTGTCAGTTTCAATTCTATTTAGTGGTAAAAAAAAGTAGAATGATAGAAGGTGGTGTAGTTACATTTTACACTTCAGAATATATTTCAGCTCTTCCTTGAGATTGAGCTCAGATTCTTCAATTTTTTTCATCACTCTGCCGCCATATTATTTTAAAACCACACCAGCAATATCAAGCCCAATTTGAAAATGAATAGATACTGAGCTCAAAAAAAGAAAGCACGTGAACACAGCTCTTTAGGTAATATAATAAATATTTATTTAAGATATATACATCTCAATACATAAACAAGAAGTATATAAACAAACAGCACAGCATAAACAAAGAGGATAAAATCACACTATAATTTTTTTTTCTTTCATGATTTATTCATACACAAGTCTCTCATTAGGTCTGCTTTATCATCAGTTGGCATTAAGTACTTGTCTTTCAATCAGAGTTCCTGAGAAATTTTGGGGCAAGACATTATGCTTTCTGTAAAGGGGCCCTACTAATGCTAGTTTGGCAACAGCAAAATAAAGTTGGGAATGTTGACAGACTTAACTCTTTACATGATCAACAGGCACCATTTAAAAACAGAGCGCAAAATTTACAAAAAGTTTTTTTGGTTGGAGTTTAGAATGATAAATGATAAATGTATTAAGCTTAGATACATAAGATTTTGAATTCATCATAATTTTAAAAATGGATAAAATACCATTAAAATTTTTCTGTATAAAATCCATTGAGTTTTGGGTTTAAATTATGCTGGAATCAAATCAGCAGTTTCTGTGGGATACGTTCCCTCGCCAAATTTTTTCAAAAAACAAATTGTTTTCCTTCCACGAAATGCGAGAGGAGATTTCTTAATAAACCTGAATTTGGATCCAGCTGTTTGATCCTCCTGAAAAAAAAACTTAAAATATTGATAAATACCTACAGGCAGAAAATCTGCAATAAAGTTCTGATTTTAAGGCCAACAAATAATTTTGCAGCACTGCCAAAATTTTCATTACACTTAAAATTTACAGAGATGCTCCAAATGAATGAATCATTTTATACGACGCCTACAAAGATATACAAAAATCACAGATACATGTAAACCAGTCTGTATTTTGACAGTAATGATAAGTTAATTATTTGACTCGATGCTTAGAATATTACACTAGCAGTCCACCAGAATCACTTAGAGCTGAATATCTGCAAAACTTGAAAGATTGTATGTTAGTTGTAATGAGGTTGTTTTTAATTCCCTTGGGGGCCGTTCAAGTATTAAGTAACACATTTTTCCTAACTTAGTAATCTCCTTGTGAGACACCCATGAGACAAACTCTCAACTCCCCCTTTTTATGTAAAGCTGGCCTGCCCTTCTCCAAATTTGTCAGAAAATAACAAAGAAAGTTTGAAAAATACAAGAAAAAATTATTTTAAACGGAAAATATTATTTTGTTTTTAAATGGGAGGCTTACACAATAATTGGCTTGACCCTCCTCCCTTCCTTGTATGACCCCGCAATACAAACTTGGACCCCATCCTTCACTTAAGTAACTTACGAAACACTTGAGCGGCCCCTTAAAATAACCATGGTGAAAAGAGGAATCACAGCTCAATCTTAAAATTGACCTACAGATGGTTAGAGTTTTTGTGTCGTATGAAAACTTTATACATAAAGCAGTAGGCCTAATCAACATTCTAAATACCAGTATGAGTGATTGAAAACCAATAAAATTCAGAAAATTCAACATACAAAATAAAACTTGGGCTGACACCATCATGAAGCTCAAAGAATAATTAAAGATCTATAATAAGACTCTGAAGTAGATACATATTTACATTTAGCCGATTTGAGATACTAAGTTCAAAAGGCTATTTTACGTTTTCAACAGAGAAGAAGGGAATCATCAAAGACACAGATGGGAACTCAGAAGTAAAAGCTGAAGTTTTTCTTGCGACTCGGAGAGTCATTGCGTTGTAGGAAAACAAAATTTGATAGGAAAGATACAGCGACAAGAGATAGAGGGAGACACCGATTACAATTTATAATGATGCAGAATTTCCACTGCCGTTTGATCTATTGGATAGAAAGCAAAACAAAATTCAACAAATCTTAGTAGTAGCTCAGGTTAAAACTTGCGATTTTCTTGAGAAAACGACAAATCTCTCTCAAAGACAGAATAAAGAAAATTACAATGATACAAGATATAGTGGCTGCAAGATATGGTAAGTGATAAAAACACATTTTCGTTTCTGAAATTTTAGCATGGATAAAAATAAATAAAATGTCAGTCAAGATTATGATTTACTCGAGCCTTTAAGACCTACTGGAGTGGTTGAGATGAAAAAGTAATTTCAAATTTCTAATTATTTCAGAGCATTTTTCAACAAAAAGCGTTAACCCTAACTTGACAGACTGCAGTCAGCCCATTCTAGGTTAATTCTCAAGTTCTCAACCTTACTGAACAGGTTATCTGATTTTTCTTGAGCCTTCCCGTTTTACATCTCTTTTTATTGTCAATCAATAAGTATTCCAGCAAGTTGGCAACATTGTTGATACTCCATTTAATCAATTGTTTGACATACATTTAAATGAAGAAAAAACAGCATTGCCGATTTGCAAGAATCGCGACTGGATGTTTATGTACTGGAATTTGAAGAGCTACGATAGGAACAAACGGAACTGTAACTGCGAGACTGGCAAAGTGAACTAACGAAATAAGGAAATTTCTAGGAGTATCACTTAACTTCAGCAGAGAGTTAACTTGAGTTTTTTACCCAGTTGTTAACCTAATTTTACCTCTAATCTTACAAAATACATATATTTTGGGCTGGATCTCATTTAATTTTCAATACCTATAGTTTATAAACTGAAATCAAAACAAAACCTTAGAGTGTAAACAAAAAAATCACAGTTGTCTGATTTAAAGTGTTGAACAATAAAAAAGAAGTAAAACAAAAGAAAATAAATAAATAATTTAACGCAATATCTGCACTGTGATCATTGCTTCCCTAAGTATTTTCTGCCGCTGAAGTGGCCAAAAATATTGCACACATACTTGAATCTCGGTACAACTGATATACATTTTTGTGAAGAAAAAGTTCTGAGAAATTCAATACAGGTCATTCTTGCTTGAAACTAAGGAGGTAAAAATTTGCAAGCTGAATGCAAGTAAAGACAATAATGAGACATTCACTGCTACCTCAACTTACTACAACTTTAATTTTAAATCCAAAAGAAAATTTTTCTAGACAATCCCTATTATTCAGACCTAGGTTTGACATTTAGTACTTTGAACAAAAGAGAGATAGAAAAAGGAAAACAAATAATTCCATAAAATGTTCTACGTTTGGATACATGTAAGCAAAATAAATCTGGCTAGAAATTTCTATTTTAGTGATGGATTTAAACATATTTTGGCAGGCATATCTCTATTGAAAACCTCTAAAAATAAAGACCATCTTTTATATAAATGCATTTGACTGTTCTTAAAGAAATTAGCTGATCCATCCTTTAGTATGGTTAACATCGTTTCCGTTATACTAGGAGATTCATACAGAACATCACAGAGTATAGAAGTACGCAGCACGTACACAGTTGTAATGATTGATGAATGTACAAAATGTAAGTACTCAAATGATGGCCAAAAATTGGGAGGAAAATACGGAGAGGGACTTAAACAAAACACAAATTGCACATATTTCATCACAAATTTCAAAGGAACCAGATGGTTAAATTCAAAAGATCCTGGCTAACAATACTCATCAGTACCTTCCTGAACATAGCAGAGCCAGAAAGAAGAGGGGCGCAAGCAATGAGCATAGAATATAAAGACAAAATAAAGACACTTAGAAGCTGGCTTATTGGCCAATATGTATGGTTAAAGAAAGTTCATGATGTGAAACGGCATCTCAAAAGTTAAACTAAAATAATACTTAATTCTGGAGCACTAGGACACCATAAAGCTTCGGCAATGAAGACCAAGACTGTTTTGAGTTTGACTGAGTTACGATCTATTAGAAAAAAACAGTTATGTATGCAAAATTTAATGTAAGGGCTCATCAACAAAACCTCTTCTATTGAAAAAAGACTGCAAGAGAGTGAGACAGTTGTGGGCAGTAAAATGTTGAGATTCTATTACAATTTTTACTTCCGTTATCATTTTCTTAAAAACGACTCTAGACATTTATAAAAAAATACAAAAATGAGAAAAAAATATGGTACCATGGAGCATACAGATGAACTATCTGGAGTTTATATCGCTAGCTGAAACTTTTCATTGCAATGCAAGGAGTAGGATTTTGTAAGCTTGGCTAAAATAAAGCTCCAGTAAAGGACAGGTAGCGCTAATTACGGAATCATGATTTGACTGTTTCACTATGTGGATCAACGAAAGATATTAAGATCTGTTTAAACAACACATTTTCACTTCCAATATTAACAAAAATATTGCGCTTCGAAAAATATGGCATATGACGTCATTCACTGCGGTTGTGTGGTTTCTTCCACCATGTTTACATTAAGCATCAAGCGCAAATGTAAGTACATATCCTTAATTGATCAATCAAAAGTGGATGTATGGTATGTGCTATCATGGTGGATGTCGTCATATATCATATTATTCAATACCTTTGTTAATATTGGACGAAAAAATTAGGCCTTTGAACAGATCTTATCCTTTTTGCTAATCCATAGGCTTGAACCATCAATACACAATTACGTGACTAGCACTACTGTGGAAAGATGAGGAGATCCGCATGGAACCTATCTGCCTATCTTCTGACAGAGTTGGAAAAAACTCTATTCAGCAAAAATATGCGCTCAAATTTAGAGGATTCTACCAAAAATAACTATTTGACTGGTACTATTCAAAATTATTCATCTGCATAAAAATTAATTGAAAGCTGAAATGATCTTTCTAAGATCTGCCAAAAGTGTATATGTATTTTTCTTCCAGGCGTGTGAATCCATGATTCGTTCCATGACCAACTTTTTTATTCCTTTTTTGCACACTTGCTCGCGAGCATCCTTAATATTCTTGATTTCTCTGCATTAATTGACAAGAAAGCTTAGAGGCTATAAAATAATAAATCATCCTTGCTTGAACTCCATAAATAGTGGAGGATATAGCATTCTTTTAGTGTTAGTTGGATTTTATGAGAAAACAACTTAATCAGCTTGTACAATAATACAAAATCAACAACTTAAAATGAGATTAAATAAAATATAAACAAATGAAAAACTGGGACGTTTCGCAGCTATAACAACTACCTTCCATCCGCTCCTTCAACAAACTTAGAAGAACCATTTTTCCTTATTTTCGTGTCCTAAGTATATAATTGCAAAAGAAAATACCTCACAATAACAGCAGTAAGGCTTGAGTTTCTTTTTAATTTTTCTTCAATATTTCCCCTTGAGGATGCAGTTGTAATAGCTGTGAAACGTTCCGGTTTTTTGCTTTGTTTTGTTTCATTTTGAGACCTTAGTCCCATTCTAAGTTGTTGACTTTGTGTTAGATATTAAACTAGAAAAGCCCCCAAATTCCTGTGGAATGAAAACTTCATGATGGAAAAACTTCCAAATAAGATGCTATACAACAGGAAAATATCTTACAGAGACTCTAAAGTTGTGGAATTACCTTCAAAAAAGAAGGAATTCAAGAGAAGCAGGCAAATATTTTTTTGTTTCTTTTGAATTTTTGGAAAATAATTTTAATAATTTGAAATTTGATGTACCATCAATAAAGGTTTCACAGAAAATATTCTCAGATGATCTTGAGATACCTAGATATGTTTTAAAATAAATTTAACAACATCCAACTTCTCTTATAGCATCTTCACTTGGCAGGTTTTCATTGTGAATGTGATATTTGTACTGTACTTGGAGAGACATATTTCTTAAATTTGATTGCAAAATTTACAAAATACAAGGATGACTCTTCAGGGCGGAAACATAAATTTTGAAAAGAGCATAAATTCTTCTATTGAAAAGATCTGTTTTACAGAAATGCATCTAAATTTTCAGGATTGCTTCGATTATTCTCCTTATTTTCTTTTCTTTGTGGCTCCAAAGATTTTCCAAATCATTAAGTATCAAGAACGTTCATGACAAAATACAGCTGATAAAGGTTAGCTTTTCAAAACAGGTCGTGGCTCTTTCGATTAAAATACTATCACCAAATGCAGGTTTTGAGCGAGGATCATATGCTGAGATTGAGATTTTTATCGATCGGTTGGCGACTTCTCACTGCCAGAGATTGCTGGCCAGGGTCTGCCCAAGAGGGTTCAACGCCGGCTGAGGCTGCAAGTTGAAGGGAGATTGTGCCGGCGGTCCACCCATTGTCATGTTTGCCAGTTGTTGAGGTAGCTGAAATCAAATAAAAATCGGTTAATTGATGTTCCGAAACAGCTAAAATTTGAAATGTTTAAGATTTTGTGCACTGAAATTTTCCAGTTCGTAGGCTAAATTCCTACATCACTTAATCCAACTGCAATGTTTCAAAACTTTCCTGCATACTAAATTTTTCAGAGGTAAAATAAATCAAAATCATGACCTGAAATTTTCTTTCATTTTTCTTTAAAATTCAATGATCATTTTGTGAAGATTTGAGGGCACAATTTAGACTACTTTCTCTTCTAGAAAATAAATAGGTGCTCATGGAAATTTTGCGACCCGTCACTAATTAAAATGATCAGATTTACCAAATCCACTGGCGATGGCTCTTCCAGTCGTGACGTCAGCAAACGCCAATTAGCTTAAAAAAGGCAATTCCATAATCAATGGTACGGCCATTCAAAAATATTAAAAAAATAAAAAACTCCTTTGCGGAGGAGTACTAAATTGTGGAAAATAATATCATGATGACTAAGTAGTTTTCAGAATGAAAATAAAGTATGATAGGAATTCTGCAATATTACTTCAAGTTTAGGCACTCATAAGGCACTCACAACTTTCACTCTGGCAAACATCAACTGGTACAAGGAAGATGTAAAAAGTTTGAAAGGGTGCAATAAAAGTGTTTGATATACTTACTTGATTTAATCCAGAAGGCATTGGCGTTCCATTAGCTGTAACTGCATTTTCCTAGATTACAAACATACCATGCATTAACAACTAGTGGCAAAACCATACAAAGCAAATAAAAACAAAAGAATTAGGACACAACTCTGAAAATAAAAAGGTAAACACAAGGATTCTGTCTGTAGACAGATCAGAAATTAGGGATCTATGTTAGGAAACAGGGCTAACTTTCAATAGTTTGACTTAACACTCAGGATGATCAGTGCAATGTACAACTCTTGTTCCGCTGTTAACAGCCAAACCAAGTGATCATCTCTCAGGACAACCTAACAAAAAAAGAATCTCTACGAATTACCAGGGTGTCTTCTGAAACTGACTGGAAAAAAATTAGTACTTTTACAATACTTTCTTTAGTTCTTTCCTGAAAATTCAGTACCTCCACAACAGAAAAATTCAGTACTTTTTGAATACCTTAAAGTAACAAAATTCAAATTCCAAAATTCACGCAAGAATCTTGAAAATATGACCACGCCACAAATTTGAATTTAGCTTACCGGTGATCTGAAAATCAACTAGCTGTACGATCGTGATCTAGCAGGCTTATACTGTACCAAGAATTAATGCACAAGGGATTGCCATACTTTTCAGGCTTCACTTGTTTGGCATGACACAAACAATTCCAGACATTCTGGCAGAATTTTCGTATTTTTTCAGTACTTTCGGACTGCCTACAAAAGCAGCACTATTTCCAGACTTTTCAGACCAGTAGACACCCTGAGCTACGGGCACAACTCACTCCTCAAAGTACTTATCATAGGAGTTTTTGAAAATGATGCAAATCAAACATACTAAGTAGAGGAAAATATGACATCCTAAAGAATCGTATCAATAAGGATCCTTTCCAAGCCCACTCCAGCTGAACTTCCTCAGATCTACATTTTTTTGCTCATTGAAGATCTTTATTTTACAGCATGCATCATGGTTTGGTCGTTTTAGGTCTAATATTGGCCATAACACTGGTCTAAGGACCGATTTTTGGGAAAAATGAGAATTTTTCGGCATTTAATTGCAAACTTGCTAATCTCACATTTTTCGCCAAAATCGGCCTTCAGACTTATATTTAGGGCAGTATAAGACCCAAAAAGATACTAACAGACCAAATCATGATGCATTCTGGAAAATACAGACCTTCAATGAGCAAAAAATTGTAGAGAATAAGAAATGTTGGATGGACCCAAAAACGGCCCTTATCGAAACCCTTCCTTAAAAAAAGTCTCTGATTAATTACTGGGTTAATGGTAAGCATGCTTCTGAACTAACCTACCGGTTGCTGTCAACAAAACTAAAATCACCTATAGTAAAACTTCCATTTGACGAATCTTCAAAAACCAGTCCAAAATTTAATCAAAATCAAAAATTTGTCGCACAGCAAATAACCAACAATCCTTCTTTGAGTCCTGCAGGAGTGTAAAATACTCATAGATTTCAGTTGAAGCAATGGCATCTCTTTCTAAATATAAATAGCAATACGCACAGCCCTGTTGACACATGCACAAAAAACACTCACAAGACCCAGCTGCACATTCTCGTGATCCTGCCCAACATTCTTTGCAGCACAGGTCAAGTTATGAGCTTTAATCACAATCCCACCTTGAAATTATAACAACTTACTTTAAGAGAGGCTGTAAAAAAAGGAAAAATTACGAAACAGGACATTTTGTTCCACTCACTTTTTCCTTCTGTTTAATTCTCTTGTTTTGGGTGTTGACAATAACGTTTAATAGAGTCCACGCCAAATAAGTTTACGCACTTTTCGACTGGGAACAAAGATTGTCTCATATAATTTTAACATGGAGAGTAAGCGCAAGAATCAAGATGATGGATCTCCCAACCCAGTCTAAAAGTGCATAAACTTATTTCACGCGAACTCTAATTTGAAACATCCCAATTTGTAAATTTCCTGTTTGTCATAGCCTTTCCCAAAGTAAGTTTTTCTTCTTCTTTGTCGTAGGATTTAGTAAATACAGACCGAGAAGAGTCAAATAAGAAGTTTGTTTTCAGGCATTATAACAAGTGCATTTACGGGTGCATGTTCGTATCCTTGTCATGCTATTTTTGAGCACTGGAAAAAGAGATTTCTCAATGGACCACTAGACAAGGTACGAATTTAAGCAATCTGATACATGTTTCTTAACCAGAATTTCACGTAGAACACGATTCACGCTACGAAAATTACCGAAATCAACTTCTAACGAAGATATTAACGTTTTTATTTCGCACTGATTACGAGGAATTTGAACTGCCCGCTCACAAGAAACTCAAAGCTCTATGTGAGTCAAATCGCGCACTATGACGGTTTCACCAAGCTTCTCAATCGAGCAATGTTCATTTTCCACCATGTGTTGTTCAAACTATTGGTAATTTGCTATAGCTGAGCCAAAGTGTCAAGATTGAAGTTGAAGATTTTTACATCGCAGAGACTGTCATGATAAACATTTAGCGCGCGATGTGAATCACGTAGAGCATTGAGTTTTCATGAGCGGGTGGTTTGAATTCACGCATCAAGAATCATTAAATATCTTCGTCAGGAGTTGATTTTGGTAATTTTCGTCAAGCGTATCGAGTTCTACGTGAAATTTTGGTTGAGAAACATGTATCAAAATGCTGAAATTCGTACCTTGTCTAGTGGTCCATTGGAAGTTTTACTATGAGTGAAGACTAGGAACAATAATTGAACACCACTACTCACTCTAGAAATTCCAAAAAGTTGACTATTGGCTGGGTTACTTGCTGACATGCTGTAAAACGGGTTTGACACAATATTCATTGAGCCGGGGGCTCCGGCTGCCATTCCTGGGGCAACACCTGTCGAGCTTGGCATCGATGCAAACATGTCATTCTGCAAAGAAAGAATGAAAAAATGATCTAATAAAATTACACTTTGACATTGATCCGTAAATGGGATACCGCATTTAATTCCGAAAATCTCGAGTTCATTTTTTCATTCAGGCATAATAATACATTGTATCATGGCAAAAATGATTCTGGGATTGCGATATATGCAGTAATTTTCAGGACTAGAGTCTGTTTCACGAAAACTGAGACTTTTTATTCGGCATTAAAATCCGTAAATGGCAACACATCAGTCTTGGACTCGGGTGACCGTACCGCTCGCCAGACACCCATCCATTGTAAGGGTAGGAACAATAGATATCCTTCACCCCTCCTTAATGGGCCCTAGTGCCCGGATCAAAATTTTTTTCTCGCTGAAAAATTCAGCTTTTGGCGTGAAAATTTAGTTCCAGCGTGAAATTATGAGAAAAACGCACTAAAATTCAGTCCAATTATCTTAATTTTGAGCTGATATAAATCATTTGCGCGGTATATCAGCTCAAAATTAAGATAATTGGACTGAATTTTAGTGCGTTTTTCTCATAATTTCATGCTGGAACTAAATTTTCACGCCAAAAGCTGAATTTTTCAGCGAGAAAAAAATTTTGGTCCGGGTACTAGGGCCCATTAAGGAGGGGTGAAGGATGTCTTTTGTTCCTACCCTTACAATGGATGGGTGTCCGGCGAGCGGTACAATCACCCGAGTCCAAGACTGATGCGTTGCCATTTAAGTATGGATTTTAATGCCGAATAAAAAGTCTCAGTTTTCGTGAAACAGACTATAATAATAATAAAACAAGAATTCATTAGATATTTAAAAACATAGTAGTCTCAAATGTAAAATCGACTTGCTGAAGTTGAAATTGAGAACGCTGCATAAATGAGGGTCTGTATAGGCCCATATCGCTTCCATTAGTTTTTCAGATTCTCAGTACCCTACACTTAACTATGGTATCAATAGAATGTTGATGGATAATGGCTAGAAGTGAAAAAGCCAAAAAACTTTTTTTTCGAGTCAAGTCAGGCCTTACACGCCCAAATCTTACATCGGAAATTTCTTACGTACCTGAACTGGTGGATTGGGATGAGCCATGCCATTTGGAATCATAAAATCGGTTGGCGGAAACATGGAGGCTGCAGGCTGAACATTTCCAAAGATATTACCTGCACAAATAAAATGGTAAAATAAAAAATAAAGCTAACCGAAAACTTGAGAGATAATGGTATAAAACATATTGTGCTAATAAAAAATGAGAAACCACAAATGTTCGAGAAGACATATCGAGAAATTCGGTATTTCAGTAAAACTATATAGGTATCTGGACTATCGTTATAAAATACTGACGTGTTTGAGAAATGATCTTTGGGCAAGGAGTTAACATGGTCAAAAATGAAGTAATGGAAAACTCAAAACCATGGGTGCGAAAAAATTCCAAAAAGCTGACCGTTTCCTGCAGGTGGTTTTGCTTGGTGGCCTTTTTGCTTTGCCACAAGGCATAGCAGATAGACAAGATAGCAAGAGATAGTGTAACCAGTGTTCGAAACTCACCTTAGAATTTCAGGAGCCATGTGGCACATCAAGCTTAATTTTTAGGGGCTAGATTGACTTTTTGCCAATATATATCACGGCGAATTTAGTGAACAGTTAGACACAAAATGTTTTAGTTACAGAACTAGTTACTTACCTTTCTTACCTAACTTAGGGGAAATTTCGAAAAATCACCAAACAGAAAAATTAGGATTTGTTTTTTTTTTTTTTGGAGGGGGGAGGGGCCTTTTCAGGGGCCACGTTGGCACTGAGTCTTCATTTTTTAGGCGCCATGACCAATGTCTCAGGCGCATCTGTGCCATTGAACCTTTAGCACAACTAATTAAAATTTTGATTGCTGTTTCTAAAATCTTTGTATTTAAGACAGAAAATTTTGATAGTCACGAAATTTCAGTTTAGGTTGTAAATTTTAGGTATTTACATCATTTTCTTATTATTTTAAATTACTGATTATCCAAAAAAACGAGATCTTGGTGAACAGATATATTTTTCAGGAGATTGATTTACAATGAGTTCAAATGAAAACAAAACTTTTGACAGAAAATAAGCAGGTTTGTTAAAGATTCCTGTAGGTATGGGTACTGCTGATTGTCCCACTCTGAGAATATTTCTTATAACATTTTAAGTACAATACTTACTCGGCATACCGGTGGGTGGGGCTGAGAACGGTCCAGGTGCAGCACTCATCTGTGACTTGCCATAGAGTGCTAGGATGGAGTCAGTGGACATCTGTTGCTTCGTTTTGGCCGGTGAGTTGGATGCCGGTTGATTGAAGAAACTGTCTTCCTCGGCTGTTCTTCTTGACGCACTCATGTTGCCGCTTTGTGGACTCTGAGAGTCAGCAGACACATTGCTGCCAGTTGAGGAGCGAGGATTCGACGGTGCACTCATGAAATTTGAAAACAAATCCGTTTCTTGTTTCACTGGATCGGAAGATGTTCCGTTATTGAACGGTGCATCTGATGCAAGATTAAAACAAAGAGGTGAAATTTGACAAAATTATTGAGCGGTACAATAAGCACAGAGGCATATTAAGGAGCTGTATACAATAGCGTTAAAAACTACATTTGACTGCTCTGAATGAAATCAGCCTGACTATATTTTACCTCCCTTTCCTTAACTTAATCTCATAATTTACTTTTATAAACAAAAAGTAATCAACAAGTTGCTTTGAAACTTCCTTTGAATTTCCTCTGTGAGATTAAAAATACACTTGAAAAATTTCAAGGCAAGATGTTGCCAAGTTTGTTGTTAAAAAAATAAAGCGTGAGAGAAAATTTAGTAATGCATGATGAATCTATACTAATTTTGATAAAAACTATCCACTTTACCATCTTAAAACTTAACTACGAGGAGAGACCTCCAAGCTAAACACTTTTGAAGTATAAATGTTATAGCCAAAAATTTCCTACAACTTTATTCCAATTCAAGAGGATGAGTTTCCTCTCAACCGCTCATGAGATTCTTGATTTTTCTTTCTCGAAAAGTTCTATCGGAACATTCAAAGGTTTCAAAACAAGGAAAGGAACTATACAATAGCTAACATGATTGCAAGGGTAGAGAAAGTGATTCAGCTCTTTATCCCAGATCACAGCAAACTTGAGGAGGATTTCAAAACTAAGGGGAGGGAAGAAACGTAGAGGAAATATCAAGACTTTAAGAAAAAATAACTTGCATTTCAGGACTCTTCAATAGCGCAGTTATGTCATCTAAAATCAAGAGGCTGTGAGGAACAACTGCAGCACTACGAGGAACAATTAGAATTTTTGAACTTCCTACAGGCTCGATTTTCAAGAGACAACTTACCTAGACCAAGGAGGTCTGCAGTTGGACTGGCGTTGGTTTTGGTACGGTTAGGTTTAGGGCTCGTTGAGACTGGTTTTGGCAAAGGCTGTGGAATGACTGATGGAAGTGGGCGAATGTTGGATACGGGGTTTGCTAGTGGCTTTGAGTCCCGTTTCTTCCGTTTCTGCTTCTCTGCTTCCTCGTCTAGTTCTTTGTCCCAATTAACCTAGACAATCACACCAAATCAAGTTTATTCGTTGAATAACAAACTATGGAGTTAAGTACTTAATAGAACAATGCTTGGACTTGAAAAAAGGAGTTGGGTTGAAAAAAGAATCATTTCGAACTTTGTTGTGATGAGACTACTTACCGAAAAATGTCAAAAATTATCTCAATTTGTACAACACTAAAAGAAGTTCTTCCTTGTATTTTTTCACACTCATAAGGGAGCAAACTGAGCAATCAAAAGATGTAATAATAACACAGCAGAGAATAAGGGTGAAACCAGAGATGCTGAAAATTTTTGGCCTACTCATTTTAAAAACTGACTTTTCCTCGTCAAGTTGAAAATGATGAGCCTTTTTTAAAAAAATATTTTGTTCTCTTACACCAATTGGAGAGTGATTGTAATACTGCTTGTAAATTCAAGATTAAGGATGAGGATTTAGAAATCAAGTCAAGCAAGCCTGTTACCTTTGGAAGTGGTGGTGGAACCCACTCTCTTGCTATGTACTTCTTGGCCTCATACTTGGCTCGGATGAACTGCTCTAGTGCTGAGTCCAACTGAGGTCGCCGGAAATCATCTGGCAGATTAGCTTCATACACAGCTCTGGCCCGGCTGTTGCCCATTTGCTGAAGGCTCTGTTGGAAGATAATGAGAGTTAGAGGAAAGAGAAAGATTCCACTTGTTAGATGCTTCATTGTACTCATGCTGTCCTGAGAGGAGTGCTCTTGTCATTCAAGTCAGGCTCATGAGTGACGGCGACACCCTCAGACTGACAGATATCAGAAAACTGAAGGGGAAGTTAACTTAGGGCTAATAACTTTGTCCGTCCCTACTTTTGGAGATCTTTCAGTTTTCTCCAAAATTGCTCTATGCTCTATGTTTTTTTTGTCCTTGTTCAAGCATAAGTATAATTAAAATCTGCTGCTATTGGCATGCAGCATGTTAAGGAATATAATTTACAGAGGAAAATTAAAACCGACTCTTTTATCATGTCCACTAAATTTTCTAACATGGTACATTTGGACTGATTAGTAAATGTCAGTAGTTGAGGTTGGAGTTTAAATGAAGAGAGCAAAAAGTCTTACTTGGAGCTTCTACTATGGTAATTGGTCTTTTTTTTCTAGAGGTTCCTTCTTTCATACACATATGAAGTAATCATCCTTTTTCTCTTTTACTATCTTTTGGGCTCTTTACTTAACTGAAGATTATCTGACAGTTTGTAAATAATGTGTAATGTTACCTTTGAGCAAACTTTAAAACTGTTTTTTGCAGCTTGCAAATTTCATCTCACCACTTGTGAGTAGTGTGGTCAAGAGGACTCAGGAAGGCTGCTTGAAGTCATATCAGCATCATAAAGAAGGATATTAATGTAAAATTCAGGTACATAAACTCCAAGTTAGGCAACTAATGGGCATAGAAAAATACTTGTGATGTATTTTTTGATAAGTTGGAGGAGCTTTACTCTATTTTATCAACAGGTAATCATTTCATATGTATAAAAAGTCATGAGTAAAATCGAATATGAAAGCCTCTTACCACTACTTGCTCCGGTGTCCAAGAATCTAAATTGACTGACTTGACTTTACTGATGTGGACACCCAAGTTTCGATGGATACCAGCACAACGAATGCAGAGAAAGATTCCAATATTCCAAGAGGCCCATCGAGGTCCTGAAAAGAAGGATAAAATTAAATATTTGATGATTGTCATAAGGATGACCGACAATTTTTTTCCTAGACATGCTAACAGAGAAAATATGTAGTTACATTTAACAAATGGTAGAGTGCTTGATCCTTAAAATTAAATGCATTATTACATGGATAATTCCTTACGGAGCTCTGAGAGAGTTTAGCTCATCACAAAAAACCAGAATTAAAATTAAAATTTACGAGAGATTGCTACTATTCACCTGATCATAAACTAAGAAGCCTTCAAGTTCCTCAAGCTCAGCAGAATTTTAAAACTATTCTCATCATATGTTACAGAAGAAAAACTTGTAAGCTCACTGTCAGGATACCTTCAGGTCATGGCAGGAACTAGGAAAATTAATGCACTAATGAAGGTAAGCGTCCTTCTCTAGCTCTCAAGGTGGGTCACATAAGTTTCGACAGATTCATTTTCAGGCATTCGATCAAGCATTTGCATAGGCCATGAGATTTTTAAACTATCAGCTATAACTGTGATGTGCAAGAGAACCTTTAAGCTGTTTGCGGTGATAAGCCTAGCCTGCCCACTATGTGCTTCAGGAAGTGAAGTATTACGCATGCCTTGAATGTAACTGTAAGAAAGTGAAAATTGCTTAATTATGAAGGCATACATTGCCTTTGAAAAAGAATGCTTGGAGGAAAGTGAATCGTGTTGATCAGAGCGACTTACCTTTGGCATCACAATCGACGCAGTACTTGTTATCTTCATCTTTCAGCATCTGCGTCAACAAGACTTGACATTTATCTTGTATTTGTTTAGCACGATCTTTATCACTTTTGGAGCTCATTTTAGAGACAAAATAAGAGGATGCTTGGCTAAAATTTGCTAAAATTGCTTACAAAACCCTGCTAAATGGGAGATCTGAACAATTGAGAGATTGACAAGTGTTGTCAATTCAAGATTGCAACACTCAAAGTCATATTTCCCTCTGATCAATTTTTAATTTGTTGACATGCTAATTGTGTTACCGTTGCCGAGGAAGTATCTTAGATTTGACGGAGAAAATTTATTTTAAAAAAATGATTTGGAAGAATGAAACTTCAAATACATTTAAAAAGGCGTTTAAGATAATAAACAAAAATGCAAATATAGTAGGGAGAAGTTTTGCATTTTTATAGGTGGCTAACTTGCATCCGCCATTCATGAATGAAAGCAAAACAAGCGTATACTTCACAAATGTTCGGGATTTCGCCTTTATTCCGATATTATTTCGAAATAGTTTTTCCGTAGATTATTTTGCCGTCGTGCACACGACTTATTTCCACTTCATAGCTTCTTGATCAAACGTAAGTTTCAATGCCCGACGTTTTCTCTGCTATTTCTTCAGTGTGCTACTTAATCCGTTGCAGACCAACTGATGCGGCGTTGATAGCCTGATATCTAATTTGCGCATTTCTCTCCACAGATTTTTTTTGCATCGTTCGCGAGGAAAGTAATTAATGACCAAATTTCACCCCGAATTTTCTTTTGTGATCTGTAGTATTGCAGGGTTAATGACTGCCTCTAGAGAAATAGCTCACTGACAGCTGCAACTTAGCTGTTTTCCTAATGATTTTTAATTGGGCATATTTATTATCCAGGAGATGTTCTCTAGTATTATTGAAAATCATCATCGGTCCTAACATCTCTTTTATCAATTTATTGTTGCCATGTACCCCTCTTCCTACTCACTTTTTAAGTAAACCAGGCCGCCTTTGACAAGAATCTGATTATCAGATAAACGTCTCCGCACAATTGTTGATTGACATTTTTCCATCTATCTGATGAACCGCCTTTGGCCCTTATCGCACTGTTTTCCTCCTCTTTATTGTATGATACAAGTTTATCTGCATAATTGCCATCATTACCTCTTCTGGGTGACAAGTTTCCTTATCTTTTATTCCTGAAGGTTTTGTTTAGGTATAAGTATATCAATAATCATCTCTTCGAATATTTCAAATGCGACTCAAGCCCTTAAAAAGCCAAACAAGTTCCAAGCCTGAATTAAATTTTAAATCTTGACACTATGTGTCATTCCTGTCCAAACTTGTGGACCCACCATCACTTTGATATTGTCATGAGAAGCAACGGAGAAAATGCACAGGGTAGTGACTAGCCAAGACATGAACATTCCTACATGTTTCCAGCGGTCAGTGTTTCCCCTTGCCCGGTTAGACTATTTTAGTTTATCCTTTCGTATTTTTTATTTTGTAAAAATTAATAAAACAAATAAATACATCACAGTAAACAACTGCAGGTGTAATGAGGGTAACGGCAAAGTTTCGTCATGTTTGAAACGAATCGGTACATGAGCCTCATCTACAGATGTGCGTTTCTGCAAAGTGACTGAATCTAAAGGCGGTTGCTGCACTACTTCGCCTGTACTTATTTTCTCTTTGCTGAGCAGCAGCTCCTCAATTCATTGCTCTTCTATAGACATTTTCATGTATGTTGGAATTTGTAAACCTTAAGTGATCCAACGTACTTAAAATAGTCGCTGAAATGTACAGCTATTCATGGTGAATAATCTAATCTTAGCCCGAGGCAATGGTATAAAGTGCTGCATGCTACCTAGAATTTAGAGTTGCATTGCTGAAATACAAGTGTTTATAGCGTTCGCGAAGATTTTCTGTAAGACCTTACGTTTACTCTGATTATCTGTAATCACAGAGCATTAACCCCATTTTTCTAATTTTTCTTGCAGAGCAACATGGCAGCTGAACAGCAACAATTTTACCTGAAATGGAACGATTTTCAAACAAACATGGTGACCTCCTTCCGACACCTGCGGAATGAAAGGAGTTTTACCGATGTAACACTAGCTTGTGAAGGACAGACTTGCAAGGCCCACAAAATGGTTTTATCGGCCTGCTCACCATACTTTAAATCCCTCCTCGAGGTGAGTAGTATCATCGTGTTGGATTTTTTTCATCACCTAATAGGTACGAAGCTATCAAAATAATATTACAGATCTCAGAAAAAAAGAGGTAGGTATTTGCAATCAAAGAAACTTATGAAGGAAAACCTCTCCATTATGCTCATGAACTGAATATTCCCTAGAACTGGGGAAAGAAAAGAAGAGACAAAAGTCACATCAGTCTGGATGTGTCAATCATCAATCGGCCTATTGATTGGCATGTAAATATCTGTTGAATGGTGCAATTTTTAGATGTGACATTTGTCTCTTCTTTTTTTCCCCAGTTCTAGCAATCAAACGTCATGTTTTGCAATGCAGGGCTAAGTACAAAACACCAGTGAACAGTGTTCGAAACTTGCGCCAAATACGCCCAAGAAATCGGTCATGGTATCTAAAAATTGAAGGATCTGGGCCAACAAGGCCCCTAAAAAATTAACCCTCCCCCCCCCTCCAAAAAAAAAAAATTCCAATTTTTCTGTTAGGTAATTTTTCGAAATTGCCCTCAAATTACAGCTACTAGTTCTGTGACTCAAAGATCTTTTGTTTAACTTGTCACTAAATGGGCTGTGTTATACAGACCAAAAGTGAATTTGACCCCTATAAACCTCCAATGGCCCCTAAAAATCAAGTTTGATGTGCCACATGGCTCTTGAAACTCAAAGGTGAGTTTCGAACACTGCCCGTGAACAGCAATGGGCTGCATGTAAACATGAGAAGGTCCCAAACACAAATTTTAATCATGTGAAGGCTGGTATGAATTACTGTTAAAAATCGGTCACTACTGCAAAACCAAGGTGAAAATCTCGTGTTTTTTGCAAAGTCGCAGTGAAAATTATGCACCTATTGCCATCAGGATTGCAGCAATTTGTATGTACTTACTCAATCAGCATTTAAAAAAAGGCATCACTTTGAAGTTTTAATGAAAAAAAGGTCCTCAACTTATGAAGGCCAATTTAAAGAATGGGAAGATGAAGAACACTATTCAGCATCCCATGCTGCATGTATTCATATAAGCTGCGCTGCATTTAGGTCTCATTCATAACATCAAATTTCGTAGAATGAATCTCAAGAAAGAAACGTTGCTGTAGTGCCTAATCTCCTTAAATGTTTATGATTTTTTTTTTTAAAATGAAATTTTAAGTTATCTTGAAATGCACTTTAGATATGTAATTTGTCTTTGGATTATTTTTTTTCCAATTACTTTCCTTTCCCTAGAAAAAATACCTTTGGCATAAATTGAAGAGGAAGTCAGAAAAGAAGGAAGTCACTCATCTCCACGAGTTGTCTAAATTCCTCTCAACCACATGGTTGCGACCAAGGTGCCCTGAAGATTGCTTTAATTGTTTTTATGAATTTTTGTCTGCAGGAAAACCCGTCAAAACATCCGATAATCATTTTGAAGGACGTCCCATTCAGCCATTTACAAGCTATTCTGGAGTTCATGTATGCTGGTGAGGTGAATGTGAGCCAAGAGCAGCTTCCGGCATTCCTAAAAACTGCCGACCGCCTGAAAGTCAAAGGTCTAGCTGAGGCACCTCAAACAATCAAGAAGGAAGGCTAGTTGAATTTTGACCCCTATCCACAGCTCTTTTTAATTTTTATTTCTATCCTTTCTTTTTTTTCTCAAGAACCTCGTACCGAGCTTAGGTAATATTAATTTAAGTTTAATACTGAATTTTGTTTTGCCCACTTAATAGCCCTGCCTTCGTATTTTCAGTGGCTTAACAAGGAAGTAAATCCTACACAGCCGTTAAGGCTTGCATGTCCTAGAAACAGCAACATGATAGTGAGTTTTGATACCCGTAAGTTATCCTGTAAAAAATCTGAGATCCTTATTGATCCTTATCGGTGAATCGTATATCTCAAATGTCTGATTTAAAACAAATTAAATCATACAGTTTTTTTTTTTTCATGACTTCAATCCTGCCACATCAGAGAGCCACTATCCTGGGGCATGAGTGTTTATACATATTGCGTCCATGAATTGTTTTTCTTAGAAGACCAATGAACTTCTGATCTTAGGAATATGTAATTATTCTTTCACATGAAGCGTTTAAATAGTATCAATGCAACAAAAATTTCTTTATCACCCTGAAAGACATTGCATGTCTTTACTTGACCTCACATCATGCATTCATATTCCGAAGTAACATTCATCTGCAAGTTTTCTTTGACTAAACTTTTGCAACAAATCGAAAACTTTTGAAGTTTATAACTTTTAAAAAAGGAGAGTAACAGGAAGAGCTTCATTGCACTCAGTGGTTTGCATGATGTCAGGTATTCAAACTAAGAGTACATGCCTATTCTCATCTCGAAACGTATCTGTAATTTACCTGTGTCAATAGGTAACCTTTATGAATGTTTTACCAATTTTTAGGGATGTACCCCAAAGAATTGATTCGGCCTTGAGAGCGAGAACTAAACACTGCGCTAAAACGATTGGTTTAATTAGAATAAGCCTTACTATGTCTCATCATCGTCATCTTCAATTTACTTTAATTTTGCCTCACATTGAATCAGTTAAAATAAACTTTCAGGGAGGAATGTTAGATGTACTTTAATAAGTGTTTGCCACTCTGAGGAGGTTGGAAAATTTAACGATGGCTTTCAAGGCTCTTTAGTGAAATGCAAATATGTTTGTAATGTGAATCATACCAAGAGATGGTATAGAATAGTTTACGAATTATTTAGAATATTCCTCCTGTACATCATCCTGCTGATTGTTTTCAAAGGGAGGATTATATTGTGCTCTCTATTTCTTGTTTCTGTTTTCCTCGTCTTAACTGAGCTTATGAATGAGAGCTGTTTTTCTTATACACTCAGACGCAAATGTTACAATTTATTTTGAAAAACCCTCTCTTACCATCCCTTGAAGGTAATTGTCCGTTTATCAATGATTAATACTTCCTGCTCTGGTTAGATTAATCAGAATGTTCAAACTTTCTAAATGTTGCAGTGTTATCTTCTTTTTCTTTGATACTTTCTGTCAATAGATTGATCTAAAGGCTGCTCTTTTCTCAGTACTGCATTATTTTTCTAGCATGGGCAAAACAAAATACAAAGTGTGTTAAAGGATTAAATCAAAGGAGGAAATAAAATAGGAAGCATGTCTGCCACAGTAGAATTGAATAACCTGATTTGAAGGCAAAGCGAAAGAGTGAGAATTAACGGTTTCAGCAGGAGAAAAACCTGGCAGGACCTCAATGTCATTTTTGTCACCAATTTCGAAAGTTTTGAAAGGCTCACCGATCAGAGTTAGTAATGATTGAAGTAACTCTTGACTGAATACATCACAAAATTATCCTATCCATATGCAACTCAAGAGTAAAATCAACTCAGATTAATTTTTCAGCCCTTTCTGTACTTGTAATTTTTTTGAAATTCTTGTCAGAACTATCAAAGTTAGTATTTTAGCTGCTGATACTTGTGCAGCGGCCTGTTTTATCGTGCTTTTGACCATCATGCATTTAAATTTTTTTATTAAATCAAATGCTATTTTTTAAAAAAATTGGGTCCAAGATTTAGCCAGTGTTTCGTTTTTACCCTTTTTTATCTTCGAATGCTTAGTTGTATTCATTTTCCTCTTTATGAATATAAAGGCTGATCTAAAAGTCCCGTATCCCTTTAACCCCCTGCCCCTTTTCAGGGTGATTCCCTAAGAATTTAGGGGGGGGGGTGGTACCAAAAATAGTTTCCTTTGATCTGGGAGTTTCAAGTCTCATTCTTTATTTGATCAAAAGTTATGCAAGGTGATGCCTGGGGCCAGTGGTATGGAACTTCTGGATCACCCTATAGGGAATCACTACCTCCTAGTGAACGTGAGATTTTGAACAATGAGCCACATTCTGATCCTACATGAACTTTTTTCTGAGTTTTTTGAGTCACACATCTTGCATGATCTAAGCATATTATCTTAAACCATACATTTTTTCGGGCTTAACTCTCGTTAGTTCTGGTCGGCTGCAAGTCAGGTCAAAGTTACCCAGGAATTCATCAAAAAATAACGATTAACCATTTTTTGAACTGAAGCTTCACATATATCGAGATCCTCTTTACAGCGAAGTAGTCCACTAGTAAATCTGTAATATCACAAATCATTTATCAGCTAACAACTGTAGAAGATACATATTAACTAGCAGGGGTCCATAAAAGTATTTAAATGTTTGCTGCAAATCTTGATCTGTTTTCTTATGTTGAATGCATTCTCTGGAAAGTCCTTCTTTCTGCGTCCTCTCTTGTTTTGATAACCTTAAAACTTTTTAAGTACATATTGGCTCTTGGCTCAGAACTTTTCAGCGTAGTCATCTCTTTCTTTCGTTGGACTTGTAATGGTAACAATGTTTGCTTGCCAATCCTCACAAATTTTAATTCTAAAATTATTATCTGCCTCGCCTGTAAATACAATCTGGCTAAAGTACCAGATTCAACCGGAAGTGGAACATTTTGTGCACCAACTCATTTACACTGAATTGGTGCCAAAAAATGAGTGAGGCAGACTACTATTCAGGGTTTTCATCGTAACCATCTGACTTGCTTGTCTGTTGAAGTGTAAATTATTTTTCAATTATGCTGTATAAGATTACAGAGCTGGTAATATTGTACAGCATAGCTATAAGAACTTGTTTGTATGTAAATAGCTGTATTAAGCAAATCTCTACTTTTTAGGACTTGAATTACCTCTAATAATTATACTGATTCGTCTCTTGTTTAAGTTTCCTTAAAATAGCATTTTCATTGTTTTCTTTTTTACTTGGTAATTTTAAAGGGGGAAGAAGGTTGCTAGTTTTTGAACTGCAAACTTATTTAAAAACAAGTTTAGGTTTTGTTTCAAGCCTGAATATTAAGTAGTTTTGTAGAGAAATTCAAATTATTCAAAAACTGTAATTTTGGGAAGCTAAATAAAGTTTTTTTAATAAACACCTCTTTTTGTTCTCTCTGCTCCTTTGCGTAAAATCCCCATTAATTTCATTTTTCACTGCTATTATATGGGGCTCTATTCGTTTTACTTATTTTTACTTTTGTAAAGATAATCCATTTTTATTAATATCACAATTAAAAAAAATTTATACCCCCTTCATTTTTTTCCAGGAGAATCTCTCACTTAACTTAATAAGCAATTCCCATAATCCAATTTCCTTCAAGTACAAATCCCTGGTAAAAAGAAGGTTTAGCAGGATAGATAGTTTTTTTAAAAAAAAATAAGTTTAAAAATTTGATTCAATGACTGAAGAGAAAAAATCGGTACACCAGATTGCAATGTTGTGAGTCCCCACGCATGCTTCACTTTTTTAAAAAGAAACCAACCAGCAGTTTCTAATGAAATTTTCTGTGAATTTTTGTCAACCATTTTAATGAGAACACAAAATTGCAAGGAAGCATCCGTGAAGAAAAGAATACAACCAGAGAGTTTTAAACGTTGCCATTAAGGATGCATACACATTTTTTGCATGTGGCCATCCATTGTATAAATGTTTACCATTTTTGAAGAATATAAGAACAGGTATTTAAAATGATAATTGTACTTACAGCGAACTTTTTCAAAATTTTGAAAGTTTAGCATTTTTGACCAATGTATGTTGAATTTTATTCCAACAAACTTGAGTGAAACATTAAAATAATACTTTTCATCCTACCTCAGATAAATATTGGCTGATTCTAGTGTCTATATATTATCTTACTCGCATATAACAACTAGTGAAAAATTTGCAACGTCGCAAATTGAGGTAATGAATGTTCTTTTAACTCAACATCGGTGATGAGGAAATGTGTAATTTCAGCGGGTAGCGCTCCGAGCAACTACTCAGCCATAGAGGTATTGCACAGTATCAGACAAAAATGCGAAGGCGCCTGCAGACTTCTATTGATCCTACGATATGCGTCTCCTATCCGATAGATTTTAATGAAACTTAGGTGACATTTTTTGACGGGGAACTTGAATTTCAACTCGAAATTCGAAAAATCCAAGACAATATGGATGTGGTCTAAAATACTACTCCAGCTCATGTTTGATCGATTATTAATTTGGGGCGGGGGGGGGGGGGGATTATTTGACATCATTATGAGTCGAATTTTCAGTCAAATTTTCAAAAATCCAAGATGACAGTAGTGATCTTAAATGCAACAGAGGCGCCTGCAAAATCATCCAACCATGCAATCGAGATGTCTATTCTTTTATCGGTTCAGTTCAAAAATTTGTCTTAGCTACCTAACTAATGTAGACTTTAGGGCGGTCTTCAACTTGCTTGGGTTGAAACTGCTTGTTTATTTTTTCATATAGGTACCTATACAATTTTGTACTCCTTTCTTCATTTGATTATTTAGAGGGATAAAATCAAAGTTCATCATTTTTACAATATAGGTGCAAAAGCGGAAAATGTAGAGACATGATTCCGAGACATATTGCTCTCATTAACTTCTGGCTTTTGTTCCTCGCCTCAGAATGTAATCTATATTAAAGAATGAATGAGCAGCTAGATTCTTTTATAGAGGGATGGTATGGAATTACTGCCTTCCGCACAGCTTTGAGCTTCTCAATGTATAGTAGGAAAAGAGTCCCTTTACGAAGAAGCGGAAACACTCAAATTACTATTTTTAAAAATTGCGCTTCAAAAAACACCATGCATTTCCGTTATTTATAAGTCTTGATTTGATTTCCGTTTCCTGTATCCGGCAAGACAGAGAGGTTATGTTTATGTTTACCTGTTCTGTTCTTGTTGCGAGTGAACAGATTGGCCCAGATATTCCGGACCACATTTCACCAAAAACTGCTGTTTGTCAAACCGCCGTCAACACCTACCAAGCGGCGAGTAGGCCTTCGGCCATGCTCGGCAATCTTCGTAGCCAATCAGGTTGCCGCTCGCCGCCCGTAATCTCGAAGAAGGTTCGGCTCCTACACCACCCTACACTTTTCGAATTTTGGATTTTGGCATTCGGCCTGATTCTCTTTTCCTCTTTTCCGTAATTAATAACAATAAAAAATTCATTTAATCATTACTTAGCGGCACCTTGTCCAATTTGTGCCTAGCGCCTCTACAACTTTGCAAATTTGGACGTTACCTTTTGAACATGTAATCCCTTCCCTTTGAAATTACTTTGAATAAGTACACTTCACTTATCACACGGGACTTTTATCCGCATATTTACTTGGCTTTATTCGCAAAGGATCTTTTAAGAAGTAAATTCTTTCGATAACTTATTGGGGATGGTCAAGTCACCAATTAGAGTCTGTCATTCCATGCCATTATTATTACAGGCATCATTATTACAGGACTAGTCCTGTAATAATAATGATTTAATTTATTGATTCATTTTATTTTATTTGATTTCATTTAGTTTTAATTAAATACTAAAATAATTTTATTTAAAATCTAAATTTAAATTTCTGCATTTTTATATATTTTTTAATTAAAGATTATCAATCTTATTTAGGTATATTTGATATTTCTTACCTATAATTTGATGGGCACCGTGAGAATAATAGATAACCACAGTATTTGATCCGTGCCTTAAAAAATGAACTGCTGGTGGCAGAACCATCTTGGTGATGAAGATGATCATTAGGAATTTTAGACTTTATTCTATTTTTTCAGCAGATGAACCTTACATGGTAACTTGTAAAGTCTTGCCTCATTTTCCTTGAGTTCTACTTAGTTTGATGCCAAAAAACAAGAAAATTCATGGAGAAACGTGCCTTAATGGGGATAGGTCCCCCTCATACTTACTATCAGAGTTCCAACGGAAAAAATCTTGTTGTCATAGGTAAATACGGTTTCCATTGCTTCTTCAGCTGTTAATAGACAACTATGCGGGTTTGCTGGAGAATTTGGTGACTGCTAGGATTGTTAATTAGTATCTCCGAAGCCTGGTTGTTATAGCTAAACTTAAAGCATTGGCTTCAACGCATCGCAAAACCAGAACCTTGGAGAGACCAGTGAACATCCATGAGAAAGTGAGTGAGGAGCAAGGTACCTAGCATTGTACATCCGTCTGGTTTTCACAACTACCGTTCCTAGGGATTTGGGATTCAGATTCGCACATCAACCAGTAAGCTTTTCTCCCAATCATCTTGATATAGAGGCAGCTATGCAGGGCGCAGCCAGGTAGTCCAATGCTCAAGCCACTTAACACAAATATTATCCTAACTTACAACAAAATGACTTGTTTCTTCTCTAACAATGGAACCGGAAAATGTTACTTTGAATGCGCGAGAAACTTCTTTGGTCGAGATGAAGAAACGTAAATGAAGAAATGAGTCCGGAACATCTCGACCAGGTACAGGCCGCTTTGTTTACATTACGAGTCTGGAGTATCTCGCCGCAATTTCACTTGAAATCACCATGAACAGATCAACGGGGTAACTGATATTTGATTTTACGAAACGGATAAATGTTAGACGCGGACGAAAGTTCTTTTGTCGAGGTGAAGAAACGCTAACGCTGAGAAATTGAGTCTGGACAGTCTGGAACATCTCGAGGAAGTCCGCTCTGGGTCCGCTTTGTTTATGTCCGGACTATGTCGCCGTTCGTTTGTTTACATTAGGAGCGAGTTTGACACCGATGACAGACTTTGGTTTTTGATGAAAATTTGGTCTGGAATATCTGGGCCAAACGCAAAAACCTTCGAAGCCGGACGAGTGATAACAGTGAAAAGTGAAAACATTTATTGAATCATCAAATCATCAATAGCAAGTACATATACCGGTGATAATTATTGATGATCAGGTGATATTACTTCGTTTTTCGGTTTTTGTTCGCCGTCTTTTAATTCCTTGTGATTGATGCATAACTTTTCAGTTTAATTGTCCAATGACTCAAGTGAATTTCGCACCACTGCTGTCAAAGAGATCGTTATGAGTCGTGAAAGTTTTTCCTCTGAAGGTATGGACACTTCGGAAGAGGACCCTCCTGATTTTGAAGGAGATTCTCGCATCAAGCCAGATATTCAGCAAGAAAAATCAAACTCAATAGATCGCACTCCGCGCTCAGCACCGCAAGATGACAATCAAGCCTTGAAAGCGTTGTCTTCGAAATTCTCAATACAAATCACACCTTGTCCAGTGCCTCCAGAACATAAGCAGGCTTTTGAGCGGTTATCTGCAAAAAGTTCAATAAATATTACCCCTCGGCCAACTCCGCCAGAGGATGCTCTCGAAAGGTTATCGTCCAAAAGCTCCATAAAGATCACACCACGCCCAGCGCCACAAGGTGTCAATCATGCACTGAAGGCGCTGTCATCAAAAAGTGCTATTCAGATAACTCCTTGTCCTGTGCCTCAAGAAGACAAGCAGGCTTTTGAAAGGTTATCTTCAAAAAGTTCAATAAAGATTACACCTCGGCCAGTGCAGCGTAAAGATTCCTCCGCACCAGTAATAAGCATCAAAGAAGCCCTTAGAATGGTGAAAGAGTCCAGTGACGATCCACCAGCAGCATTACACCAGAACGAATCAGCCACCAAGGAGAAAGCTAATATCCAGTCACCCACGGAGGATAATGCCCAGAATTCTCCTCCATTGGTGTCCAGCCAACAAAATGAGGAACTCAAAGATGCAGTTTGTGACTCTAACTCCGGTGGCAGTACCAGCAATGATACCTCAGATCTCACCGCTGCTATTGTCGATGGAATAGATGATGAATTGGTCCTAAATGGCAAGCCAACTGACAGAGGTGAGCGCTTTGATTTCTTATTAAAACAGACTGAACTGTTTGCAAATTTTGTTACAGAGTCTGCTGAAACTTATTCATCTCTAGAAAAACCCAAAATATTTAGTTCACCCAGCACTGAAAATAATACTGATGCGTCAGTGGAGCATCGCCACCGAAAAACTGAAAAAGAGGAAGATGCTGAATTACTAGCTGCTAGTCAGAAAAATTTGAAGGCAATCCGAGTGCTAGACTCAACTCCATTTTATATAAAAAACGGCGAACTACGAGATTATCAAATTCGAGGTCTCAACTGGTTGATCTCTCTGCACGATAGCAAAATTAATGGAATCTTAGCAGATGAAATGGGACTCGGTAAAACCCTTCAAACTATCTCTTTACTTGGATATCTTAAACACTTTCGAAAAATTGAAGGGCCTCACTTAATTGTTGTTCCTAAGTCTATGTTGTCCAATTGGAGTAATGAAATTGAGAAATGGTGTCCGTCTTTGAAAGCTGTCACTTTAGCTGGTGACCAAGCCATGCGAGCTGATTTTATCCGCGATATTTTAAAGCCCGGAACTTGGAATGTTTGCATAACAAGTTACGAGATCCTCATCAGAGAAAAAACAGCTCTTAAAAAAATCAGTTGGTCCTATTTTATCATTGACGAAGCTCATCGAATAAAGAATGAAAAATCCAAATTGTCCGAAACAATCAGAGAATTCAAGTCAAATCACCGTTTACTTCTAACAGGCACACCACTCCAAAATAATTTGCATGAAATTTGGGCTTTATTGAATTTTTTGCTACCAAAAGTTTTTGACTCAGCCGATGACTTTGATGCTTGGTTTAACACAAATAGCTGCCTTGGTGACAATGCTCTCATAGAACGTCTCCACACCGTTTTACGGCCGTTCCTCCTCAGACGTTTGAAGTCTGAAGTTGAAACAGAACTCAAACCAAAAAAAGAAATTAAAGTTTATATAGATTTAAGTAAAATGCAAAGAGAATGGTATTTAAAAATTTTAATGCGAGATATTGATATTGTCAATGGTGCTGGTAAGGTTGAAAAAATGCGACTTCAAAACATTCTCATGCAGCTGAGGAAGTGCTGTAATCATCCTTACTTATTTGACGGAGCCGAGCCAGGTCCTCCTTACACAACAGATGAGCATTTGATTTTCAATTGCGGCAAGATGATCATTCTTGATAAATTACTTGCAAAGCTGAAGGATCAAGGTTCGCGTGTCCTGATTTTCAGTCAAATGACAAGAATGGTTGATATCTTGGAGGACTACTGCTATTTCAGAGGCTACAAATACTGCCGCCTAGATGGTCAAACACTACATGAAGATCGACATGAAAGGATTAAGGACTTTAATCGACCTGACAGTGACAAATTTTTATTTTTGTTGTCAACCAGAGCCGGAGGACTTGGCCTCAATTTAGCCTCAGCTGATGTTGTCATTCTGTATGATTCTGACTGGAACCCCCAGATGGACTTACAAGCAATGGATCGAGCTCACCGAATCGGTCAAAAAAAACAAGTCCGGGTCTTCAGATTTATTTCAGAAAATACTGTGGAAGAAAAAATAATCGAAAAAGCTGAGGTGAAACTACGGCTAGACAAGATAGTAATCCAGCAAGGTCGCTTAGTTGATAGCAAAACTGCGCTGAATAAAGAAGATATTTTAAACATGATCAGACATGGTGCGAATTATGTAATTTCGTCCAAAGATTCTGATATAATTGATCAGGATATTGACACGATTCTTGAAAAAGGAGAAGCCAAGACTGAAGACTTCAAGCAGAAGTTCGAACAACTTGGAGAATCTGCTTTGGCAAATTTTTCACTCGACACACCGTCCGATTCTATTTATAAGTTTGAGGGAACTGACTACCGTGGAATCACAGGTAGGAGTAATCAATGGATTGAGCTGCCAAGGAGAGAGAGAAAAAGTCTCCACAGCGATATTATTGGAGATTATGAGCGGAGGTATGATGTGAAAAACCTTAAAGCTCCTAAACCTCCAGACCTACCAGTTATTTTCGATTTTCAATTTTACCCTCAGAGGTTGTATGAGCTGTTGAATAAAGAAGTCTACTATTACCGAAAATCTGTTGATTATAAGATACCGCAATTTCCGGATATGGATGAAGAAGCCCTGAAACTAAGGGAGGAAGAGCAGAGGAAGATTGATGAGGCGATACCTCTGTCAGAAGAAGAACTTAAAGAGAAGGAAGATTTACTGTCCCAAGGTTTCTCAAACTGGACAAAAAAAGACCTGAATGCTTTTGTCCGGGCAAATGAGAAGTACGGGCGCATGGACATCCGCAGTATCTGCAAAGAGTTTGAAGACAGAACCTCTGAAGATGTAATTGAGTATAGTAGAGTTTTTTGGGAGCGCTGCGATGAGTTGCAAGACATCGACCGTATCCTTGCTCAGATCGAACGAGGTGAAAATAAAATTGATAGACTAGCCGCAATCAAGAAAGCTCTTGATTTTAAGGTGAAGAAGTATCAACAGCCGTTCCACCAGCTGAAAATCCCTCATTCCACAGTGCGTGATCAGAATTGGTCAGAGGAAGAAGATCGATTCCTTATTTGTATGCTTCAAAAGTTAGGATTTGACTCTGAAAATGTGTATGACAAAATGCAATCAGCTATCAGGTTTGCACCTCAGTTCCAATTCAATCTGTTCCTTAGGAGTCGAACCTCAGCTGATTTGCAGAAGCGCTGCAGGGCCTTGCTAGGACTCATCATGAAGGAGAACAAGAAATCGGAGAATGCTCCTGTGAAACGAAAAAGGCGTTGCAAGCGTAAACCACAAAAAAAAGAAGTATCGGATGCCTCGGGAATGGAATTTGAAGACCCTGAAGTGCAATCAAAAAAGCGGAAAGAATCGACAAGCTAGTATGACCCTCTTGGGAAACTCTCAAATTAATTTAAAATCAATGATTCTTTCCTCCTTTTTCTAAGCTCAATTTTTTTGATCAAGTATTTTATGCTCTTTTCGATCTTTTATATTGTCCTACTTATCTGTATAGTATTTGTAATTTTATGTATTTATAACTTTTCTATTGAAGCAATTTATAGTCAAGGTTATTTGTTACGTGGGCCTGTTTACCATTATCACATACAGCTTCTTCTCCCAATTTGCATACTTTGTAAGTAGAAGCTATTTTTATGAAAGGTTCATTTTTCTTGTTGCCATCCAACTATGTTGTAAAAAGTCAGTTGCAAGTTGAGGTTTTAATTAGACGCAAAATGACAGGACTTTACTTACAGCAGTTCTTGCTCTTTTCCTAGTTTTGCAGAAATGTAAAAGATACTTCAGCAAGATTTTAATAATTTTTCAAGCCCAATGTGAAATATTCAACACTTATTTTCAAACTGAAGAATTTGTAGAATTATAATTATATTTCCCCACCCTCAATCCCATGGTGGGTACGTGAGAAAAGTATCTGCATTTGTCTTGATCTACTTTCAAGATGACAACTCAGCAAGAACCCATTACTTATGGATGTTTTATTATTTTCTATTTTTTGTAGCTGAAGAGAAAATGAAACCATTAAAAAATGTATTTTCTTTTGGCTGCGTCTTTAAGTATATTCCCAGTTCTAGGGTGAAGATATTTTTTATTTGCCAATGAATAATGTTTCAGGAATCATACTTAAGTGACACAGCTTTCATCGCACTTAAGCGCAAGCAAATAGGTTTTCAAAAAATTACAAATTTATTTGCTTGCTCAGGATTTCATTCACAATTACAGGGTAAATATATCTACCAAAATATCATCGTAAGCAGCTATTAGAAAGAGAGAAAAAATTTCCTTAGTAATATTTCCACCTAAAATAGAATGATCTCGTTATTTATAAGATTTTAGTTGTACCGCTATTTCTTAAGTACCTGTTTGAAAATTGAAACATCCGAAGCTTCTTCAGATCACAACTTCTCCTTAGTCTCCTAAAATCATGAGGTAAAAAATATTTTTGTTCCAAACGAAACAGAAAGCACCGCTCAGAGATTTTTTGGATAAGTTAGAAATGTTTTTCCAGTAGGTATGTAAATTTATACATTCTTTTCTTCTCTTTTTTTTTGGGGGGGGGGGGGGTTAAAATTTATCCATAGATTTTTCTTATATTTAATATCAAATCTGTGCAATTTCATACTTAACACCCCTCAAATCTCGTATCTATTGATTTTCTCTATGGTTCCCATACATACAAGATCCTACTTAGAATGAAGTATAAATACCTAAAAATTGTGCGTAATGTCCAAGAGTTTCTTCTTGGGAAAACTTCCCCAAAATTTGGATTGACATTATTCAGCATCTCTTATCTATATTGCTAAGTAATCATAATAAGCAAAATTCTTCTCCAACTTCGAATAAATCTTTTCGTTCTTTAAGCGTCTCTTTCCTCTCGATATGAATACATATTTGAAAATTGTTGTAGAAAGAAGGATTTCAATGGGTAACATAAGTAGCACCGTATTTTTTATTTTACTTCAAGAGCACAAAGTATCCTTATAAAGTGGAACTATTCAACAATGAAAGTGGATCACAGTTGCACTGAAACATTACATTGCTTTCATTCTTCACATTCATCTACTCCATTTTTGTGCTCTTCTCAGAAAATGTACTCAAAACTCTCTTTTTTGATATGCATACTTTAAATGTCCTTCCCTCCTCTTTTTTCGTCCTGAATATCCATCTAACTCTGTATTTTCAACAAATTTTTACCTAATTGTAATATGTAAAGCTGTTTGACAAACTTTCTTTCATTTCAACATTTATTTTAATTTTTTAAGTTTGAGCACAAATTAGCATGTATTTTCTTCTGTATCCAAAAATTGTTAAAACCAGTGCTATTTCTTTTTCTTAAAAAAATAAACGTTTATTTTTAAACTTGTCTTCGTTAACACCAATTTCTCCCTCCTCCACAAGTCCCAATGATACTCGTGATAAAGGTTATGTGATGCACACAAAAAATAGTTTTTGAGAGAAATTTTTTGTTCCTCTAAACTCGAACCTTACCAGAGCATTTTTAAATGGCAAGCTGCAATCTCAATAGTTCAAACTATTAATCTGCAATTTAATGATTGAGTGAGTAGTCTTGCCATTGTTTCCAAATGAAATTAGAAATATTTTCACCAATATAATGTTGGCTTTGCATTACTTGAGGTGTATCGGTAGAGAAAGCAAGAGAGAATTCTCACTGATTGTGACATCAGAATGATTTTAAAAAATAGACTGAGACTTTGAAATGTGTAAAAACAATTTATTAAACGTAAGAACTATAAATTGAACGCTCTTTACGATTTTACAACAATCACTATCACTGTCAAAATTTAGGTATACAAAGTGGAAAAAAAAAAAAAAAAAAAAAAAAAAAAAAAAAAAAAATGGAAGTAAGTGTGAATTAGTGATAACAGCAATACTTTGTCAGGGTGAAAGTTGGTTCTTGGCGTTAAAAGATTAAAAAGTGATAACAATTAGCAACCGTAAATGGACTTCATTTTGCAATTAGGAATAATCTCTGACTTATCCGTAAAAACACTTATGTGCATAGGGAAACTGATGGTCCATACATTGTTTCTGAACTAAGCCAGAAGTTTTAGTTTTGAATTGCTAAATGTAGTCCAATTATCAAGCTGTCACATTGGAGACAAATCTCTGAACGCTGTCAAGGCATGTCAAGGGGCATTAAATCCCTATTTAAGCTGAATCTGAACAATAACACATTTTTAACTCCTAACACTGCAATGCGACAGTTTGAATTTTTCGAAGTTTGTTACATGCTATTGACAATAGAGTTCAACCAAGGTCAGACTTGCTCACATTTAGCCTGACTCCAGTTAGTTAATATTTGAATAATTTAATTTAACAACGTCCAATTTTCGATAGGTACAGTATTTCAGAGGAGTGGAATGATTTCGTTGTAACTTACAAACTAACATTCATCTAAAACATGAAGATGTATGTAGAATAATTTCTTGTGAAGCGCGACAAATATAATTAAGAGCTCACCAAATCTATTGACTTTGTTAATCAATGTTTTAGGTATGGCAAGACAAGCAACTGAATTGCTGAAAATATCTAATGAACATCAGACATGAATTGATTTCATTTGTCTGTAAGGCTCATTTCAAGAAATAAGGTTAAGTTATTGTTTGTGACTAATACAGCGTCTAGAGGAGTCTAAAAATCAATAATCGTACCTTAAAATAATCCTTGAGCACTTATTTAGGAACAATTTCTTCAAATACCAGCCCTAAAATTTTGATCTAAGGACGTAAAATCTATTTAATTGCGTTTAAAAAAACGCCAGATTTGCACCAAATTAATTTTCTCTCTGAAAAAATAAAATAGAGTCCTTACAATAGGGGTGTCTAAAACAGTAAAAATCATGACATAACAATATGAGCTACTGCTCGCAGAAAAATGGAACAAATACTTAATGAGCTACATTTAACAATGGCACCATTCAGTGGGTAACTTTATAGATGCAGGATTTGCGATGCAAACCCATTTCATGTTCAACAACATCACTCAGATGTCATTAGCGAGATGAATCATCGACAAAGCAAGTTCAAAAGTAATGTAAACCTTTTAAAGCACTATGATGGGCAATGCTTTCTTTATTAAGCTCCCTTTCCAGAGACCTCAAGTCTTTCTCCTTACTATAACGACTTCTTAAGCTAACTTTATCTTATCTGCAATCCTAGCTGATTCAGGGGAGGCTTTTTTCCATGGGGAAAAGAGTCAAGTTGCTGGCTTTATTATCAGGCAATTGAAGCAAAATGCAGATTCGAAAAGACCCCCGTCGAATACTCAAAGAAACATCTTTTACAAAATTAATGGCTAATAAAATATCCTGGTAGTTGTATTTGGATGGATTTGACCAAAATGAACGTAGATGTAGTTCACGCTGCCTATTTTCCACTCAGTTTAAAAAGATACACTCCCAAAATATTGATTAGTTTTCTGTTGCACAAAAACACGAGAAGACATTAGCAGTGGCAATTCTCGAAAGTTGGCAACATTGTTTTTCCTCAATTTAAGTGCATGTAAAACGATTGACTCTTGGCGAGACAGCTTGTCTCACTTAAAACGATATTTTTAATGGATTAAATGGAGAAAAAACAGTGTTGCCAGATCCCTTACTCAGTACGTCAAGAGGACTAATAAATTTACTTTTCCAATATTGTTCCTTGCAACGTAAGGAAATGTTTCTTTGACTCTCAAGTAACTACAAAATTGTTCTTCTGTGTGTTTGATTTTTCACTGCAGTTTGCGGAGTGTTTACGGCATAATATTTGACTTTCATACGCATCTCAAAACATTGAATAGGGTCAATATTTTTAAAGAAAAAACGAGTGAATTTTACTGAATACTTTTGTCAAGAAACACAACAATGCTTTTTGATCCGAAATTTGACAGGTTTCCTTTCAAGTTTTTACCGGAAGAAAAAAATCCGACTTGGTCGGCTACTAGTATAAGAAAATGTTGAACAAATTCAAATTTACATCTGGAAGCTCCGAAAAACCAAGCTGCTTGGATCAGAAGATATTTTTAATTCTATGGCGAAAAAAAGCTTACAGGTATTAATTTCAGACGATCAAGTCACTGGGCTGGGCATCGTATGCTGGAGGCGAGTGAATTTCATCCGTCCTTCGCTGCCTGATGTTGCTACCAGGCCAGACACGAATAGGGCTTGGTGCATCGATGACATGTCTTGGTAAGGACTCAACAGATCTTATCGGGCTCACTATTTGCAGTACTCCACGTGGCACCACTTCACCCGTGTCATTGACTCCATTGGATTTCAGTCGCCTTTGGGCTGCAATCGTTGCTCGTAATGTCTTTCGTTTCTGTGGAGATACAAAAACATATTACAAAATTGATTAAATTGAGATGTATTATGAACAAAGCGCGTAAAAACAAGTAAATGAATTAGATTAGTTTTCAATCGTTTTAATGAGACTTTATGACTTTTTAGCATTTACATGGTACTGATAAGCAAAATTTGCAATAACAACAGGCATTAATCATAAGTTTTTGGATGTTATTGACTTGGTCTTCTGATTATTTTTTGTACCCAATAAACGACATTAAAAATCCTTCACTGAGGTGAGATAAGGACATACGACACAAATGCTTTAATGCCTTAATGTCTTTTGACTGTTAAATTGAATTTTGCATGTGCTCAAATATGAAAGTGTTGGGATAATACATACCATTGCACACATATTTCAGTGGGAAAGTTGTAATTTTGCTTAATTTTGCAGTATTATTACAGAAAAATTTTTGAACTTTCATCAATTATGTCTTACTATTATTTGTACTTACACATTTAAACTCATTATTTAATATGATCATTTTTTTTTTTTTTTTTCAAATAAATTTTTTGAATATTGATGATACAACATCCAGCAAAAAAACAATTTCCTTCATGAAACACGCATATTACAGTAAGTATTATTACAATTTTTTTAAAAACATTTTTGGTGGAAACTTAAAAATGATGGACTTTCTTGCAAGATAGAAGAACTCACTTCAATAGCTCCACGCCATTTATCTGCCACATGCCGTGCGAGTTCCATCCTTTTTTGTTTGCGAATTTGGTGTTTTTTGTAAACCATCTCTATGACTATCAAGCCTACACCGCCGGCTATGCCAGCTGCTACCAGAATAAACACACCAGCCATATTCTTCAAGCCTAGAGTGTTAGGTGTTTTCTCATACTGCTCGCACTGCGGCTGGTTGCCTTGCAGGATCCACTTGTTGTCTAAACTTTCCATGAAACCACCTGAAAATAAAAACATATGAATTTTTGTTCTATTTTCTCATCTGCTCACCAAGATATTCACAAACCAATCTATATGTGAGCCTCTTCAAATTCCCAGATGAAGCCATCAGATATGGCCAGCTTTCTCATAAAAGGCTCTTTCAACTCATATTAATCATTCGCAGATTCTTTAGAATAAGATCTGTTCTTCGTAGAGTTGATGGCATGCACTTACGATACTACTGATGAGACAATTGCACTCTGCAGTTCAACTTAATGTTTGGATGAGACTTGATTGCATTTTGCAATGAGAAATTACGAGCATTGTGATGTTGATTAGATTAGACAACTTGAATGTCTACAATAAAGTAACAATCAATGAATGATAAATGTATTTACAAGGCAATTTTCTTTTTTAATTATTTAGTTTTTGGTAGGGAGATAGAAACTGTTAGATATGTTCTGATTTTTCTTGCGAGATATAACAAGTTGCACAATCTCAGTAGTATTGCAATACTGGTAGATCTTAATCGAAAAAAGAGGCTGGGCACAGGAGGAGGAGATTTGCAGTGAAAGGTCCAATTCTCCAGGAGAGAAATTCTTACTGAAAATCAAAACGCTGACAATTTTTGGAATTTTCGGGTATTTTTTCCAGGAAATGTTACGGACTTGACTCCTCTAAGCAGTAGTAGGTATACATATCTTAAATATTGTATTTTTCACTTTTGGCCTTCTTCTCCTATGTTTAGTCAGAAATGCAGTCCAATTCTGACCACTAGAGCTACGAGTTGATGCACAGAAAACATGAAAAAAAAGAGTGAAAAATAATTACTTTCATGGAAATCCAATATAGCCAGTGTTACAAAATCAGACCAAGGTGATCCTTTCTGCAAACCGATACCATATCCTGATCGTCCAAATAATTCACCGGCTGTGACAAGTTCACAATCTTGAGCAGCTTCAAAATCAAGTCGAGAACTATCCCATATAAAAGCCATCAACTTTCTGAAATGAAACGTAAAAAAAAAAAAATTAAAAAAAGACATAAAGCCAAGAATTTTTTTTTTTAGAAAAAATTTCCAACCTCTATAATAATTAAAGAGCTTCTCCTAAAAAACTAGTGATATTTTACGGAGTCCCTGCTAGTTGAGTAAATAAAAAAATATCCTATTAAGGATATTTGCTTCTTAATAAAAATAAAATGATGCTCTGCTTTTGAAATTCGGATTAAAAACGTTTTTTCAAAGTCAAACTTGATCTGCGCCTCTTCTGTGTTACATAAGGATTACTATTTATCAGTTAAACGGTGGTAAAATAGTGTTGGGTCCACGCTATTTTGCAGGGGAAAAAGGTCAAAAAGTTAACAAAATTTCAATTGGAGTCAAAACTTTTTAGCTCTAATGAGCACCAGAATTTTTGGCCTTGTTTTCTCCGCAAAATCGTGTGGACCCAGTACTATTTTACCACTTGTTTGGGTCACATTTCTCAGTGTTTTTTTCGTTTATCAGTTCCTACAGTTAAATTGGTTTGTCATAAAGTCACAATCATGCAAATTTTACCTTTTTACATTTTATTTGACAGAAAAATATATCTGTACCCAGGAAAAAATAGCTTAAAATTAAATCCTGCAAAATGGGGAGAGTGATATTGAAAAAATGTTGAAAAGTATTCAAATTACCCAATTTTCACATCGTGAATTGCCTCCTCAGCTGTGTCATAATTATTGGCCTCCATTGTACGATACATGTTTGAGAGCTCAACCTGTCGTCGGAAGTACATATCAACTGCCGAGCCTTTCACTGTGGCGCAGGTCAGATTTTCCATTGTGTTGCGAAGCTGAAACAGTGCATATAAAACGAATTTTCATTAGAATAATTGAACAAACGCTAGAAAAATTCTTGACTAGTTCCTGACTTTTTCCGCAAATCAACTTGTGATTTCAGGAAAAGAAATCCTAACTCTCAGATGCTAAATTTTACAGGAGAGCAGTTTTTGTGAAATGAATCATTACTTTTGAAAAGGGCAGGCGTCCAGTTTCAAAATCAGTCTTTTTTTTTTTTTTCTTTCTTCATTTTTGAACTCTCCGGTTGTCCTAAAAATATTACACTCGAAAGCAGCAGTAGTGTGCTTCTTGGAACACAAATAACAGACGCGCAGGGCGAATGTCATATAAAAATACCGTCAAAGATGAAAAAAAAACGAGCTTAAAAAATTGAACTTCTACATACATAAAGCCGCTTTTATAGCGCCGCCTCGCGCTCTGCGACGCCCAAACGCCATTGCCCCCTATCCTCCCAGAGATCATAAGGCAATTGGCACCTTCTGATCTCCTCCTCCACCCCTTGTCGCCAACCTTTCACAGGACGTCCACGCTGTCGCCTTCCGGGAGGAACCCAATTGAAGACCTGCTTGGGCAACCGATCATCTGCCATCCTTCGCACATGTCCATACCAGACCAACTGCTTGGACCTGATATCGTGCACGATGTCCTTCTCCACACCCATTATCTCGCGTACCTTTTCATTGCAAAAATTGAACTTCTACTTTTTATAAACGTACTGATTCAAATGGGATTGAAAGACTGGTATTTGAAAATGCTCTCAAGTATCTTCAAGAGAAAGCTGCAAGTAGTTTAATTCATCTTTAAGATAGGAAAAGGTTTTAAACCATATTTCAATCTTACGGTTTTCAGATACGAATGTGACAGATAGAAAAATTGATCACACACATTTTAATTGCTAAAATTCATCGGGAGGCGATTTACAAACTTTGGCAAACTGCAATAATTTTTTATGAGTAGTGCCACAAGCTGTGGCACAGCTAATTCAGATGTGAATAACTTTCATACCCTAAAAAAATGTGCTTTTTGCTTCGCATTAGATAACTTTCCAAGCCTCAAAATTAGATGGGTAATATGAAGATCTGTAGTATTTCAGTACATACCCGAGCATCGTTAATTCCTGTGAGCTTCGTTTTTGGACGTTCCAAGACGAGGAAAGCAGCCAAGTTGGCAGTGTAGGATGCGACAATAATCATAGCAAATCCTGCCCAAACCATGCCTAAAACTCGAGCAGAAAAGCTCCGTGGTGTCCCTGAAAATTTAAAATTGAGATTACAGATGCAAAGACTGGAGACAGTTTTTGAGCCATTTCACTGTGCTTGTTGTTTACTCGTAACTCATACTAAACACTAAGGGAAAAGATTATTTGCAGGCAAAATCGTACAAAGCTTGACCGACTTCTAATTCTAGAATTCCAGACCTGTCATTAGAATACTTTCCGTTTTTCAGACTTTCTAGGCTTGTAAACATCCCCTATCAAGAACTTATTTTCACAGTAGACTTTTATGACAGAACAGTTACCAGTTTTTGGAATAAAGTTGTGATTTCATTTCTACTTTATCACTGTAAAATCACTGGATTATCAATAACTAGGCCATTATATCACAATAAGTCTTCTGCAAGTTCCATAAGTTGCCTTGCAGTCTTTCTACAGTTAATTTTAGCAAGCAATGCGTTTCAAAGCTTTGAAAAGCTTAAAATAGCTTTTTTGACTAAAAAAACGGCATACGATTGAGGGTATAAAGCACCAGATACACCAGCTTACTAGACACAAAAAGTAGGATCCAATCCTACTTTGAGCGAGTTACGGGCGGCAAGTTGCAACCTGATAGGCTACGGAGATTGCCAAAAACAGCCCAAGGCTTACTTGCCACCCAAGATGCGCGTCTAGTTTGCAGGTGTGATTGGCACTTACAGGGAATGCTTCTCATTGGCCTGAAACTTATGAGGTCATACAGATAAGGCGATGACCTTGGATTCAACCACCTTGTATGCAATGCAGCATGACCACCACCACAAACAAATAATTTCATGAAAAAAAAAAAAAAAAAAAAAAAAAAAAAAAACAAGAACATTCACTTCAAATAGCGATAATATTGCAAGCACGGTGGGGACACATAATTTCTAAACATAATTGCAACCTGAAAAGCAATAAACAAACATGGGTAAAAGGATACACAGTAGCAAATTTTTCTTGTGCCGTTACAAAATCTATTGGCGCGATATTTTTCCATTAGAAAGGGGGCTGGATTTTTAACTGCTTTCAAATTATTTTGCTGAGCTAAAATCTTATTAAATGAAAATTGAAAAAAGGCAGCTATTCTCTTTTCTCACGTACCATCCAAAAATGAATTTATGTCAAAAAAAACAGTGCTGCAGACTCATTTATAAAATGCCAATAATGACCTGAATGAATGTCAACATTGATGAAGTTGCAATTTAAACAAGTAAGATCGCAAGTTTTGGATCTGATGATATCACGATGTACTACCACCCTTGAAATTGAATAATCCAATATAAATGGCAACTGTTTATCATCATAGCAATTTGGACAGTTCACGTGAGAGCGTTGCCTACGAGAATGGAGAGGCCGTAACTACGATTCTGTGACGTCACACTAGTAGATGAAACTCGGCCGCAGTTTAACACGCGTTCTTATGGGAGAACGCTTGCCGCGCGATGATTTCTCGCCGATATCTCTTTCAGGGTTGATCTGACGCAAAATTTCATAAGAACCGTTTAGAAAGAGGATGAAATTTCACTTTAGAAAACTAACTAGTTCATTTGTGACATTGTCTAAATATCGAGGAAATGAATGCGTAATACCGAAAATTGTTACTCCACTCAGATTCAAACGGGCCGCTCGCGCAACTTCGGCTGATCGAGAGCCACTCTGATTGGTCCACGCAGCGACTGCCTCACTCATTGATGCACTGATGACCCGGAGATGCTTGTTGTTTTCGGTAAATATCTACTAGCTTGACGTCACAGAACTGACTAGTTACGGCCTCTCCATTCTCGTAGGCAACGGTGAGAGTAATAGTATAATTTTCGCTTCTATTTGCCTGATTCCATAAGAAAATAATGTTTCATTACCTTCACCGATACCACTGTTGAGCAAAACGCCCCAAGCGAACCAAATTGCACTTGACAAGTTCAGAGCATCTTCTTCCGTACTGTCTGAGTTGGACAGTTTGAAGCGTCCAAATGGAGAGAACCTGTCGAGTAAGTAGAGGACCAGGGCCACGACATGCACAGAGACCATGACCAAAATCCAGAGAGTGTTGCTGAATGGTTGCAAGAAAGAGACCAAGGTTGATGACCTGGATGGCTATGGTAGGGATTAAAAAAAAATAAAATAAGATCCCAGATATTGAAAAAATATACTGATAAATTTTAAAGGCTCGCTCTGGAGATAGGAAAATCTTGTTTTATTTCATCAGCAGGGGTACCGATCATCAGAAAAGATGTGAAACCAAACATTGCGATACACGTCGACGGTGAAACTTTCAAACCACGTATCTCGTAAACAGTGTTTAAAATTATCCACTCCTGCATTATTTTTTTGAAGGGGAACAAATCAACATAATTTCTTAAAGTTTCCTCAGAACTTGCTTCGCACTGAGAAGAAAAAGCACGGAAGTTTTTAAACATTGAGGTTGAGTGGTTCTCCATTTAAGAAAACAAAGTATGAAGGATGTCTGCAACGTTGGGAACCGAGATACATGGTTTAGGAGTCTCACCATCGATGTGCCCTTGACCAAATCGATTGAAGAATAGGTACTCTTGAAGAAAACTTCCACTTTCATATCATGAGAGAGAAATTATATAGGTGGTAGCAATTGAAATTCAAGTATATTTTGAAAAGTATGAAAACAGATGAAGCTCGGAATGAACGAAATCTTTTTTACCACACAGATAAGGTTTCTGATTTACTGATCATGAGTTATAGATTATTTTCAATATCCTTGGAATTCATTAATTTCATAAATATAACAGCTCAAGAGGTTTTGTATGCTAGTTAAAATTGAGCCCCTATACTTGTTTGACTTAGATTAAACATCCAAACTCAACATTGATGGCTTGAATTTTGAATGCTTGCATACATGAATAAATTTTGTATGCATACATAGATTCTTATCACTTTTGGGCTATTTTTATACAGTATATGACACTTTGTTTGACTTACCTTTTTCTCTAGAATTGTGATACCTTGATACTTGAAAGGCTTGCTAAATTCTATGAATTCTGCTCTCTCTGGATTAATTGTCAACGGAGCAACTATCATGTCAGCACGTTCAGCAACTAGCTCTCCGATCAGTCCTGTCCACTCCTTCTTCCCTCCAACTGTAGATCAGAAAAAAGGAAGGAAAATAAACTTAAAATAAGAATAATTGTTGATGATGAAGACATTTAAAGCGTAGAAAGTTTAATAAAAAATGAGTCATATCAAAAACTTTAACTTTCAAATTATCTGATCTTAACAAAAAGGACAAATTTGTTTTGGGAGCCTAACCGTTCCAATCTTCAGCAGGTGACGACCGGGGGTGCTCGCAGCGCACCCTCAGTCAGATTCCAGAACTAGGACAGGGGGTAGCTGATCGTTCAGCCCTTCAAGATCCTCATTCATCAAACTAGCTCTCTTCTTGAAAATGAAAATTTTCTCTTGCATTGGTAAATGTTAAAATCAGATAAATGTTTACCTTTTTGATAAAATCAGGTAATTTGAAAATTAGAGTTTTTGATACAACTCATTTTTTGTTCATTTACATTTTCAAAGTTTAGAATCTCGTGTTAATAGTCCAAAAAAAAGAAGAAGAAAAAAAAGTAGAAAATTTAATTTTAAATTCTCTTCCTAAAACAAAAATACTTATGACTTTTGTATTAAAAGTACTTTCAGAGCTTGATTAAAAAACTTAAGGAGATGATTGCGTCCTTTTATTTCTTGTTGTAAAAGCATAAGTAAACTGATAATTTTTTCTGAATTACATAATTCAGATCATAAATTTGTTTCATTTCTTTCAGACTGCATTAAACAAGTTCATAGTCCTCTTCGATAATGGAAAATTGGAGCTGACACCAAAATCAAATTTCCAATGAAAATTTAGGAGGATCCTGAGGTTGCAAGGGATTGGATTGAAATAAATCATTTTTTGTTCCACATTATTTTTACATTTTAGAAATTTGATTGGCCATTTCTTACCAGAGGTATTTTTAATTAGGTAGCTGCCAAATTGACCGTCAGGCGATAGAGCTAGGTTGTAGGTGAAATTGATGGTCTGTGAGAGCTGCCGCAATAGATCGATACAGTATCCTCGGCAACAAAATGTTCGCGAATCTAAAAATTCAAGAAAGAATATCAAAATAAGAGGCTTTTCAGACAGAATTTCATGCCTGACTCCTATCTTCAAAATTTCTCAGCAAAAAGCTGAGCAGTCAATCACTGTAAGCTGAATTTTTATTCATTTTCAACAAAATTATGATTTAAAAGAAAAAGATGGTTATGTAGTTGTCTTCACAACATTCATTGGTGCCTGTGAAGTGCCTATGCTAAAAATTTAACTGTCAAAAAGTGCTGTGTGATATTCATACAACACTCCTCTTTGCTAAGATAGCAATATTTTAATTTTCAGTCTTTCCGCAGTGGGGTTTTCATCACATACTGAGCACATGAAAATGTTTTTACCCTTATAATTTATTGTAATGATTGAAATGTGTGATTTTAAGCCGTACGGAATTAATTGAAATTTATGAACTTTTGACTACCTTCATCAGATGAATTAAAATGTGGACAAGGTATTTCCTCAGGCCCGCACCCTTCACCCGCAGCTTCAGCGGCTCCTGAGAGTTCTCGGACATAGACAAACGGCTTTTCCTCAATGGTAAGAACCTTCAAATGAGTTGGAATCATGAATCCTTCTGGTTTAGACTGCAACCTGCCAGGCCAGGTTATGTTTCCATCATCAATGCGTAGTTTCATTTTGTTTTGTTCCTATAAACAGATAACAGAACTATCAACAAGAATTTCTTTTTTTCTTTCTTTTTAAGCAACATATCAACAAGTGTGCTGACGCTGATCAAGAGGAACATGAATTGCACACATGATGCCATTTGTATTTTGACACTTAAGTAACGTTAATTATAAATACTTACACCTATCCTCTCAAAAAGTAGATTTACAAACTTTTCATTGTGTGAATCATAATATACGTACAATTTTTGAAAGGAAACGTTTGATTGAGGGTTTCAGTATATACCTTCTGTAGTGCCCCATTGAAAAAAAAGAAAGAGAAGAAGGGAAAAAATTCATCAACAAAGTAGTTCCTTGGACTTTTCCAATTAAAAAAATACTACAATTACTAAAAATATTAATTTCTGATTTTCATCTCATAACCAATAAATCTTCAGCAAAATCATAAGTATATTACCCCAATGAACACTACTATTTACTACAGAGAACTTTTCAATCGTAAAAAGATACATTGGCATCTTGTAAAAGCCTCAAGAGAGTTGTACTTTATTATTAGAAAGAGGACATAGTTTCTTCATCGTTTTTAAGAGACAAGAGACAAAAAATTGAAAAATAAAAAAATGAGAGAAAAAATTAGGAACTTAGTCTTACTGCATTGAAGTAATATTGTCCAACTGGAACAATACGCTTTCCCTCTTGTAGGTTAACTACATCGTACTCTGCAAAAATTCTGTCTCCGCTATCATCAAAAGCAACTTTCCCTGTCGCTCCATTCAACAAAACTTGTTTCCGCACGTATCTGTCAAGAGAGGACATAGAAATTAAGATTACAAGAATAAATTTTATTTATTAGCTTAAGATTGCATGAAAAAAAATTGATGATGTGTGAGTATTGATGGGAAAAGGGACCTCTGTCCATAAAAGGAGTTATTGATACTAAAGAATGAAAACATATTAAAAATTAAATAATTCACCGTAATAGTTGTTCACACTAATGGTAGGGACCCAGCACTATTCTACCACCTGTTACGAAAGCATAGAGCAGTGTTCTTGGAATATTTTGACATGAATTACACTCAAAAGAGGGCAAACCAAACCAGACTTAAGCCAGTTTGAAGATTGCTCAAACACTCGAGACTAACTTATCGACTTTACTGTTATTATTGATTAGTATTTAATCATCTGAATATTTCATTTTCAAGAGCTTTGAAAAAATAACAGAATATAAATGTCTCAACTTGATTCACTGACTTGATGATTGACAATGTTTACAATGGTCAAACATTACTATCAAGGCTACAAAATAAAATGCATCACTTAGTAGCAGTAGCAGACCAGTTGGGTCATTCATATAAGTTTCTTCTTAGGTGAGCTAGTAAAGATGCTAAAAGATAATAGGTGTACACTGTCTTACTCAAAAAGGGTTTTTCCAGTTTCCCAGATGGATCCTGAATTGTCACAGTCTTGTGGAGCCTCTGTTATGATTCCAGTTTTGTTCATTTCCCTTAGAGCTGAGGCTAAGACATGTCTGAAAAAGAGAACAACAGTTTACTTGAATTTTTTTCTATCTAGGTGTCAATTGGAGAGGTACGATGATGACCTATGCCTCATGAACTGTAAATTCTAGTGATAAATTACATTCCTTCACCGAAGGAGCAGGGCTATGTAGTATTCAAGAACATCAGAGAAAGGTAGGGCGGAGGTCGCATGAACTAGGTGCTCTAATGTGATCTGTTTTCTGCACCTCTATCTATGTCATCGATTTGGTGATAAGTTCATCAGGTCTAGAAGTTCATTAAAATCTAAACTGAAATGCAACTTGAAATCGAGTTCTGGAACTTAAAAATACTGCGCATCCTTGATTTTTATCAAGATCTTGCTCTCCGCAAAATGTCCCCTACATTATTAAAAATCCTCATGGCTCCTGAAGAACTGTAGGCGACTTGTAAAAATAAAATAGCGGGTACAAACATTTTAGGGCAAAGATAAAACACTCGTTAAAACTAGAAACCTCATTTCCAAAATGCGGCAATGATAGAGTACACAATTCATCTGAACATATCTTTCACACTAAAATTTTCAAAAATTAAATCTATCTTAGAAATTGATAAGATTTTTTTCATGATGTTTATAGGGTATCTCAGCATGAAAAATTGGATGTTCAAAATACTTATGTTTAAACACGTTAGACGCATTACCCCCTCTCCTGACCCAAAAGAAAAAAATTGAAGGAACTTACACACTGTCTTTGATGTGTGCCTCTTCACTTGTTGCGTTCATGAGTCTAAGTCCAATGATCCCTTCAGGGGCATTACTTGCATTGAGCACCTGTTCAGTTACTATCCAGACGTAACCAGCATCGGTCATGTTTAGTGCCTCCGCATCTCGGAATATTACTTCAGCATCCTTCTTACTGCTGGAATGGTATTTGAAGAGTATAAATTTAGAATGGTTGTAACAAAAATTCAGGGGATGGAAATATTTCATGGATACATGCAGGCTCATGAGAATGAGGCAAAAGAACCTGACAAATTAAAATGAAACTAGCAATTGCCTATTATCTTTATAGTATAAATATAGATATATAAATAAATATATAGTATATAAATATATATATATATATATATAAATAAATATATAGTATATATATCTATAAAGTCGGTGGAATTGACACTGATGAAAGATAATTTTTTCACTTGACACGGCCTGTTTTTCTTGATGTATTCCTTCCTGTGTGAGAATATTTTATGCTCCATAATATAGCGCATCAAAATTTGAGAGAAATTTCTGTGCAGATCATTAAAATGATCAAAATCAACTTTTTTAAACTTAAATCTAATTACAGTAGAATTTGAAAGCTTTAATTGAGACTACTTGAAAAAATGTATGACACACAAATTTGAAAAACTACTTAAAAAATGAATTCATTTTCAAATGCTTGATGGTGTCACTTTTTTCCCAAATCATGGAACTCACGATTATGAGCAATTTTGAGTCAATTTTGAGTGGCAGAAGATTGTATTAACATTTGTCCAACTGTTGAAGCTTGGCGATAAATCCATACAGGCCCACAGCAGCGTTGAAAATTTTGAGGCAGAAAAGTTTTACGCTACGAGCAGGTTTCTTTAAAACCATATTTTTTTGTATTCATAATACCCGATTAAAAGTACTTGAGACTTGGGGGCAAAATATCATTCTGTTTGTGGGTATAATCCTATTTTTTCGTCCACAAGCATCTTTCTATGCAATTTTAGATATATTCAGAAAAATGAGCTACTAGACAAGACTGGAACTAGAGAAAAATTATACATGTTTCCTCTCCAGAATCTTACATAGAAAAACGATTAACAAAATAAAAAGTTTGGAAATTAACTCCTCAACATAATACCTACTAACAAGTATTTATTCCACACATCAATTGGAAGTCAAAGTATAAAAAGTATTTTTAGTGTTCAACCAATGTTGATTGTAAACAATGATATTTTGTTCAGGAATTGATTTCAAGACTTTCCATCATGTGATTCGTTTTTTCTGTAACATTTAGAAAAGAAAACATACTTATTGTGTAGAGCTTTAATTCAAACCTCAACTAAAAGGCCCATCGCAAATGCCCAAAGAGAATTTTGGGACTTTCTCTTCAAAAAATTTAAAGCAGTTATGGGAGAAATGTAAACAGGTTGTCTACTGAAACAGGATGGCCAAAAATAAGTACTTTTACAGTACTTTTTCAGTACATTCCCAAGAAATTCAGTACCTCCTCAACAGAAGAACTCAACACTTTTTAATACCTCTATTAGACAAAATTCAAAAAATTTCAAAAGTTTGAAATTGCGACAAAAATAACGTAGCCGCAATATTCCATTGGTGGCTTAGTAATTAACTGACTGCACAATCGCAATTTTGTAGGCATATACTACTCTAAGAATCAACACGCAGAGGATTGCATACTTTTCAGGCTTTATTAAAAAACACGCGTGGTGTGAAGGAAAAAATTCCAGACCTCCTTGCAGAATTTCCACACTTTTTCAGTGCTTCCAGACCACCCTTGAGAAATCAGTACTATTTCTAGACTTTCCAGACTGGTAGACACCTTGGTGAAGAGATCTTGATTTGCAGGCGTAACCAAGAATTTTAGCTTAAACACTTACCTTGCATACATTAAATAGACGCGTGCTTGAGCATTCTTCATTTCCTTGAGCTGATCATGGAATGTATCGAGGCCAGGTTCAAACTCTATGATGGACTCCACCTGCAATGAATCTCGAGTGGTCAGGTGAGAATCATTTAAGTTCTCTGAGCCACTCTAATAAGCATTTGCGTCAGTGAATTTCATCAGCCTTACATGCAAGGACATCTAACAGGCATGCCACTAGAAAATTTAAGCTAAACACAAAAATGAGAGAAGTATTGAGAGAAGTTTGTATTTAATCAAGATGACTCATTCTCTTTGGATAGTCTCTCATTATAAATGCCGAAACAAAGACATCACGACAATTCAATTGGACAATATTTTGCAATAAGAAACTACTGTTTCTAGTGTATTCATAGGAGCACTTATCTGCATGAGGAAATTAGAGACTTGAATGTTGTTTCTAAAATGAGTAAAAAACAGTATTAAGTTTTTTATTGCAAAATATAGTCAAATTGAGGTGTTTCAAAATTTCGGTTCTGCATTTTTACACGAGCTTGATAAGAATGGTGGTTTAGAAACTTATAGGAATTTAGAATTCCCTAGCCATTATAGTAGGGCGGATAAGCATAACAATCGTGCATTTCTGGAAGAAAGCATGAAACTTTCAGGATATCATCTTTACCTATAGAAGGTTCAATTTCGCAAGTGAGCCCAAAATTCTGAGGCCATGGGGGCCGGGGGGGGGGGCAGGGGGCCCTGATTTCGCTATGTTTTGCCGAATTTTCGCGTTGGATCATCGTGAGAACGCCGTTAACAATGTAAAATGTGATCAAAACCTGTGTAAACGTCATTGATAGGTTCTCTCAAACAGTATCCTAAAATGCTAGCACTGTCCGATACCGGAGCACCCCTCAAAATGCCTAAAATTCAAAATGGCGCCCATAATAAGGTCTCGAGAATCTAGGGCATCTGAAATTGAGTTCAGAGTTTTTGTGCAGTAACCAGCAAGACGCCTCACTATTAGTGGCTCATCATTTTTCACTTGTCAGCCATGATGACAATCATCTTGATTATCTCGTGTCATTTTTTTGTGTAAAAGATTTTTTTTACATTTCATTTAGATTCGTTTTGTTGACTAAAAATGCGTATAAATGGATACCTCACTTGTCATCTCACGTGATTTTTTTTCTCATAAAAATTCACACTCCCGCCTTTCAAATTTGGCCGACATCTTAGACTTCGGGCACCAATTTTGACCGGGGGGATTTTTTGACTTCAATAATGAAATGTACGACCAAAATTACATATGAAATGACATATCACTTGCCTCATCACGTAAAAATTTGAAAAAATGCACCCTCCTGCCTTTAAAATTTGGCCACCATCTTGGATTTGAGGCACCAATTTTGACCGGAGGACTATTTTGACTTCAGTAATGAAATCTGCGACCAAAATTACATAGGAAATGACATATCACTTGCCTTATCGCGTACCTAAAAGTTTAAAAAATGCACCCTCCTGCCTTTCAAATCTGGACGCCATCTTGGATTGGGGGCACCAATTTTGACCGGGGGGTTGTTCTGACTTCAAATATGAAATCTGCGACCAAAATTACATGGAAAACGATACCTCACATGACAGGATATGCACAAATGAAAATACCGATATTCAGGAGGCCTTATTATGGGCGCCATTTTGAATTTTAGGCATTTTGAGGGGTGCTCCGGTATCGGACAGTGCTAGCATTTTAGGATACTGTTTGAGAGAACCTATTAATGACGTTTACACAGGTTTTGATCACATTTTACATTGTTAACGGCGTTCTCACGATGATCCAACGCGAAAATTCGGCAAAACATAGCGAAATCAGGGCCCCCTGCCCCCCCGGCCTCAGAATTTTGGGCTCACTTGCGAAATTGAACCTTCTATAGGTAAAGATGATATCCTGAAAGTTTCATGCTTTCTTCCAGAAATGCACGATTCTGGGAACTTTTTCCCCTTATCCGCCCTACTATTAAGGTTGCATTAAATGAATCGAATGCAACAATCAATTTTCTGTGAACTTTCTACTAGACCAAATCGACTTATTTAGTAGCTTGCATCATTTGATATATCACCGTTAAACTGTGCTACCCTTAAACATTGATATCAAAATATTCCGTTTGTTCTGGGCGGAGTCATTAGTTGTATTGAATATCAAATGTTTCAGTCACTGAATCAGACTATTATTCATGTTTCAAATACTCTGTGCAAATTTTCAAAAGTAACATAATTTGATGATCAAATCATAACACTAATAGCAACACACACCTATGGATGCAATATGATTTTCCAACAAGACAATATACACATTTCTCTAGTAATAATTACAAGACTCAGGTGACAAAAATCAAGCACTAAAAAATCATTAATTATGCTGAGAAGTTAAAGACGAAGCAAAAGTTGCAGCTCATGGCCGATAGGGGAAAAATTAAGAAGTAAATAAAAAAAAAAATGAATAAATTAAATAAAAATTTGACCAGTTCACATTTCATTTCAAGAGAGTAGCTTTATATATTAGAGTAAACAGAGAAAAAAAGGTGCACATTGAAAGAAAAACTCAGTGGTTATAGGTACATAGGATTGATACGATTCTTAATAAGAAGCAACAAATTTGAAGTTGAATAGAATTGAAAATTGGGGCGAGATAAAATGCAAGCATGAATAACATTTAAATAAAAATAGCTGGGTGATTTCAGATTTATCAACTAAATACCATGATACAGTTTGATAGGATGGGACTCTGAGCTTGGTCTAGGAATGTGATTTCTGTTCATTAGGAGTTTCACTTCAGTCAATCAATTTTTATCTTTTTTTAGTTCTTTTAAATTTTTTAAAGACATAACAGTTAATGGAACTTTTAAAAAAGTATGTATGTATAAAGGAAATGAAAGAAGAAATCCAACTTTCAAGTCTATGATAAAAGAATTATCAGTCAGTTTCTAGGAGTTCTCACTTATTCATAATTGTAGAGAGGCATTCAAAATGAGCAACCAGGGTTTAAAAAATTACTGCATGCAAATTTGGATTTTTCATTGCCTAAAAATAAGAAACACAAAAATAAAAACAGAGGTTGCGTGCATGCAAATATTCAATATTACTTTTAAATAATAGGGCGAACCAACTGAAGGAATCAATTGCTAGGAGTTGAGGAACTTAGTGAAATTTAATCAGATTTAAAGCATCCTAGGGTGTGATGAAGAACAAAAAAAGAAAAAGAAAAAGAAAGGGTGGATAGGTAAGAAAAATTTGAGTTACAAACTCATTCAGTGAAATTGAGCCTAATCAACAAAATCCTAATGTAAGCATGGAGATTTGAAACAAGTTTACTATGATTCGCAGTAAGCAGATTATGGAACAGAGAAGACATAAACGAGTAAAATTTGATTACAAATTAAAGTTTGACTTACTTATACTCTCAGTAAAATCAGTTATGAAAGATAACTGAAGAGAAAGGTCTTAAGACGGATAGTAAAGTTTCTTAGGGAAGAAAGGAAAACCTACTGAAGAGAATAGGAGGCTCATGGTTCATTCATTCCATGAAAAAATCTGACATGTTGGAAATAAAATTAACCAGAAATATTCAAGGAGATAGAGGTACACAAGACAGTCAAAGTACAAAAAGACGACTAAGATCACAGATTTTTGAGTGATAATCTAAACATTTAGGATGCAAAGTCCTAGTTTTACGAAAGATACAAAGCTTTGTAGACTCTTTACATTGATGTAAAACTATTTTGTTCTATGAAATTACTTCATCTGAGCCACTTGAAAGAGAAATTTCGGGGTAAGTGAAGCAAAAGTATTTTCCTTTGCTTGAAGGATGACTCATCATCACTAATGAAAAAAACTTTCCCATACTTAATTTTGTTTTCCTGATTAAATTCTCTGTGCAGTCTATTTTGTACAAAATTATGATAAAATTAGAGGAAAAAATGGAACATCAAAACTAAAAATGAGATACATGTTTCCACAATTTCATTGTCGATGCTCCTTTGATTTCACAGAAAGTTTAATTAAATAATGTTCCTCATAGAAGATCTGCGGTTTTTCCTCAGTCAGACTCCCAAATAATTTCTAGACAAATTTTTGAAAGGGATGGATTCAACCTCAGTGATGAGTTATTGCATTGTATATGGCAAATCTTGTTTAAATGCCAGGTCTTGTTTTAATGCCAGGCCATAGAGGTCTACATACAACAACATTGGGTTTACATTTTGGGTTAACAATTCAATACTAGACCACACGCTCACACGCACACTCAATACAAAATGGATATAAAAGAGTACATACTTGGACTTTGATTTCAACGTCATCTTCTTGATTTTGTGATGTTGTCTGGAAGCGTCCCAGTAGCGCCCGACCATCTGTGTCTGAACTGTGGATGAATATTACCTGGAAAAATTAGTTCAATATCATTACTTTCATAATTTTGACATAAAAATATTTAAACTTAAAAAAGAGCATCAATTATCACAATTCTTAGTAAGATTACAAGGCATCTTATAGTTTCAACCTCATTCACTGATGGATTTAATCTCCAAACAACTGGATTTTGGCAGCAATGAATCTACTGAGAATGGTAATTAGCAGGTTACTGAATTTAATTTGGTTTATTTTAAACTGAAGTAAATTGAGGTGACGTACTTAGAGGTGGAGGAAGGGAAAGAAGATCATAGTTTCCTGGGAGAATAGGGGCCCACAAACTTTCTCCATTCATCCTCTCTAATGTATGGGTCAATACTGTATTAATATGTGAGTTTTTTTTACCAAAGTTTCTCAAAATGGTAATTTCCTGCTGACAATTCTTGACACAATTTCAATTTTAAATTCTTGATTTTTTTATTATTATTATTATTTTTGCTGTTTAATTTTGCGTTCCCAAAAATTTTCCATGTCTTAGCAGAGCACTTGGACAAATAACAAAAATGCGTGAGTTAAAAATAGAAAAGCCTGATATTAAGCAGGAAAGCTGGGCTGCTGAGCATACCTTCATGTAGTTGAAATGTTTCAATAATTCAACCCACACATCAGCTTGATGAGAGTACGGAGGAACAGTCCGCAGAAATGAGACATGAATGTTCTGAAACATAGAGATCATGCAGATTAGGAAGCCATTTTATTTTTACTGATGTAATTTAAACAATAAAAATTGCTGGGTATTTATCATTTGAGTCCTCTAATGGCAACTTTAAAGTAACATTGCAAAGGGATATTTACAAAAATTTTTTTTAATATTTCACATGTAGAAGTTATACAGTTTTAAAGTTTTCTATCATCCTATGATATACATCAGGATCTACGACTATGGAGGCAAATCAGTTGACCATAAAAAATTGAGGTGGGTGTTTTAGATGTACAAGATGCAATTATGGAATGATGGATATCTATCATATTTTATCCTACAAATTGCATACTGAGACTTACTTTATCGGAGAAGGCACAATCTCTAGAGGATATTCCAATAACTGGAATATGATAGAAGCCACTGGTGTAGGAGACAGCTGCCGGAGAAAGATCACCTATGAGAGGATGAGATACAATAACAGCATACACCTGTTCATAAAAAAAAATCAAATTATTTCTTAAATTTCAGTACTTATTTTAGAAGCAGTTAAAACAAAACAAAAATGTTGAGCAATAATTGATCATTCTTCTGGAAAAATAACAGCTATTGCATAAAATTCTGAACCCAAATGATACTGATATCTTTTTTCTTTTTTTAGTCCCTGAGCAGTTGGCCAATCAATTTGGTTTCCCATTCTCTTCTGTAATGAAACAAATGCAATATGGAATGTTGGAATAAGGCTTCATTTTGCATAATCCATCACAAACTCTTGGGTATGCACAGGTATTAGTGATTTTGACCCTACTGACTCATTTTCTACTCTTATAGAATATTGTTTGAGAGAGTTGGGGTATGTAGAGTTTCTAGAACAAGGATTATATTCAGAGAAAACCTAACTACATTTGTATGAAAAAGAGGCAAAAAAAACGAACGTGTGAAGACGATGAAAACTTCCGTAATGAACTAACACTTCAACTGAAAAATTACTTACTCCTTTACTCCCGATCAAATCTTTACACACGTTTAGGGCAGTGCGAATGGGGTTGGCATCTATGAGAATGGCAGCATCATAAAACGTTACTCCACGGTTGACAAAAGTACTGTCAAAATTCAGCACCTAAAAAAATTATCAAAATACAACAGTGTCAGACAAAACAAATATTTGAACTGAGTAAAACAAAAATCAACAGCTGAATTTAAATAATGCAGCTTATTAGATTGTTATTCACAATAATAAACGTTTTACTCACCGATATTATGTTTTTGAAGTGCGCGAGACTTTCATTGTTGCTGAGAACTCCACCTATGTAAAACGTTGAGGGGTTGCGAGCGTCTGTTGACACATAATGTAGACATGCGATGCTAAACAACAGATGCAGTGCAGGAACAATTTTTTGCTTCATTTTCCTGGAAAAAGGGGGTTATAGAATAAAAAATTTGATAAAATTAAACAAACCCTGTATTTACTCAATACAATAAGAGGCAAAAAATAATATTTTTAATTGATTAAGCAGTTTTACTGACACTTGAAACTTGAAAAAACCTTGAAAATTACTTCCAAAAGTAATTTTTCACGTGTCCCTAGGAATTTTTAGCAAATTAAAATTTGCATTGTGACCATGCATGAGATATGTTAGATAATGAGACCATCCCCATTCTTTTCCTCACAAATAAACGGACGAACACTTAGAACCATTGAGTGTCACAACTTTGAGAGAGGAGATAAGCAAATCTTCTGCCGTCCAATTTCCTCCATTTTCTAGGAAATCAAATCTAAATCCGATTGGAGGAAATTCGAAAGACTCGGCAGGTACCTACTGAGATGACAATAACCTCTCTCTGAAAAAAATTGACAAGAAATGATTAATTGGAACAAACAAAGTCGCAATTACAAAAAATTTAAAAGGGAGATAAATCAAGCGACAGACAGGGTGCGACCCTCAAATATTCAGTTTTTTCCTGCCATCCCCCCAAAAATATTCTGCACTAAAAATTTTCAATTTTTTTCTTCTTAATTTTTCTTAATTCAAGGAAAAATAGTGGGTACAGAGAGGAGAGACACCTAGAGATATAAACTTTGCTGAGCATGCGGATGCTCTGCAGTCTGGGGGGAGGAATAATGAGTTAAGAGTCATACGAAAATAAACCACCCTTAATGAAGGAAAAGAAAACTCACCAAGTGATAAAGACGAATTATTTCAAGCAACTGAAGATTGACATGATGGAAAATCGGGAGTGACGGGAAACTCCGATGCTCGTGATCCCGGGAAAATCTTGCGCCGTCCGAGACTCGGGAAGGGAGGGGGAGGAGGGGGGAGAAGATTGGTTGCCCTGGCAACTGCTCCTGACGGATCTCATTGATTCCTGGGCTGCTCCGTAAGGGTTGCGAGTTCACGACCCTGATGAATCACTGTCACATTCTTCCGTTCAGCGAATATTGAGGTAATGGGAACAATTTTTCTGGAGAGATTTAATGGAAGCTGCTAGAATTCTCGGTAAGTCAATTAAAAGTTACGAAGCATACGGAAATCTGCTGGGGTCCGTTCGCGCGCGCGCGGAGAGGGGTGCAACACAGCGCGCCAATTTTTGAAAATGGCGCGTAAAGCAAGCGCGGTATTCCGTGCGAGAGGAGGGGGGGAGGTTCCTCCCTTACCAGAGTGTCTAGTTTCTTTCTATTTTGGGAAATCCTAATTTTTCCTGATTTTTAATTGCTGAATCCTGATTTCATAATTTTTCCAAATCCTGATTTTGGTGGATTCGAATTTCGGCGAATGTACCTCACAAAAATAGTTTGATAAAAGAATCCAATCAGATGGCCGACTTCTCTCAAATCCTGATAGAATCGGGAAAATCTGGAAAGTTCTAATGCTAGACACCCTGACCTCGGTTGAGACCATAGAATGAGCGGAATTTTCCGACTTGAAGTTTTTTTGGACACCTGAAGAAACCGGGTGCATAAAATACGAGTATGTCGGAATCAAATATCACTAAGGGGGATGTAAATAACGTGTGGAAACTTATTTCACTCATTCGGAAAAAAGTACCTCCAGGTGACATAAAAAAAAGGAACAGTTGTAGAAGTTTTTGAGATTTGAGGGTTTAACTCCTTGGTTTTTCCAAAAGTGCCTAACTCTTGTGGAGAAAACTAGCAGGGCTCGTCTCTTTGATTTAGAGCACGTGGCAATTGTAAAATTCCAAAGAAATGTTAATGATTCCTTAATCAATAGAGTGGAAAGAGTTTGTGATTGAGGAATCACACTTGTTTTTTAGACGAGCAGCGACAGGGAGTGAAAATAGATACATATCTATCAAACTATCATACATCACTTCCTACTTTATTGAGAAATGACTAAATGAGCGCACTGAGTACCAGTTCCCCTCCCCTCAGGTTAACATTTCAAGTTCATCCATGCCTAACTCTGAGAACAAGCGTTGTTTTTAATTTTGATAGTCAAACTTGGTTATTTGTTTAAAAGGGATGGACAAGTTATTTAATGCTGACCTCTCCTCAACCATTTCTGAGTGAGCATCTAGGCTTGTGAAAAAATTCTCAGAGAAACCTCTACCACTTGCTCTGATAGAATGTAGAAATTATTAATTTTAAAGTTTGGACTGTTATGTTCACTCATTTTTATTTTTTAACAATCTAAACGATCAAAGAGACTTAAAGTAAGTTGGAAGCTTGGCATTAATACCTTTTTAAGTCATATTTCTTTTCCTTTGTATTACATTAAAGGAGGACATGAAAAGCGCATTAAACTTTTGAATCGTTCTCTCATAAAAGGGGCTGATAGGTGTAAGAAGACATTCCAAATTTAAAATTTTTATAATTTTATTTTAAACCAAGAGCAAAAATTCAACACAAAAATCTTATGAAACTTTTCGGTTCATGTCATAAGTACTTTGCTTCCCATCTATTCAAGAAAAAAAATCAATGACTTTTTCCAACTTAAATCTTGCAATGTTAAGCAGGAAAATTGTATAAATGACTGTCATGTGAAGAAAAGTGATTAAGTAAAAATGGTTAACAGACAGAGGATCAGTACTCAAGAGTTTACTGAGAAATAATTTCAAGAGATTATCACAATATAATCGTCACATGGAATATCCTACCCAACAACTACTGTAATAACGTCAAAAATATGAAACTTAACTGACTACTATGATGGGTCTTCCCTGAAACAATATTGCTATCTTACAACTAGGAACAGACATGAGTATCAATTAAATCCGAAGTTTTCTAAACTACTCCTCGATTTAGAAAGCATCGATGATGGGAATTTTCGGTTTTACATCAAATGGTAACTGTTCGATGCATTTAATTTTTCCATTTTTTTCAAAGAACCTTTGAACACTTTTTCTCGCCATATTTTCATCTAGAAAAAAAAATAATTCAAAATTAACTGCAGAATTGAGAAAAGTTAAATATTAAAGAAGCTAAAAAACTATCTATCATGAGAAGACTTCGACAAAACATATTGGCTTTTTGTCGGGTAAAGTTACCCAGTATCAGAAACCCATGATGCATAAAACATTGTTTCCATACTTTTCGTTTAGGTTTTATTCTTTACAAATTACTGTATCTGTCTAAAACCATTATTTAATACACTTCGGTAACTTTAGAATGAACACAAATTCAATGGTATTATGGTAAAGCCTTTCCTGTAATTTACTCAGCACAAAATTTGGGCGTATTGCATAATTATTACGGAAAATCATGAGTGATAGCTTATGATTAATAATTATAGATTTATATCTAAGCGGTTCTTCGGGAATTCGACAAACTGAATTTTGGCATTTCAAACTCTTCCTCTCTCTCATTCAGTGGCGAGGCATGAATTATTGATTATCAATATTCCCCCATTTGAAGCTATGGTAAAAAATTCATTATTAAGGTTTTGTTGCGAACATTCTGTTTCTCAATCCTTTTTCATAGATGTTAGTGGTAGATCAATTGATATATCCGTAGCACCCCTTGCCACTGCTTCCATTGTCTCGTAAGTCTGCACTTGCCCTGAGAAATTGTGTCACACTTTCCTAGACCCCAAGTTCTTCCTATTTTAATGCGAAACACTGGTATTTTCACTATTGACTGAATAGAGTAAAATTCATCCAGTGGCCTACCGGATGAAAATTTTTTTCTGCATGCAAAATAAAGAGTGTCTGAGATGAGCCCTTACCTGCAGCCAAATGTTTATTCAGCAGTTCTTCTGTGATATGCTTGGCGATGGTCTGGAACAAATCTTTGTTCCCTATTTGTTTGGACTTGAAGTAAGGTCGAAGGTAATGACAAACAATCTTCGCGATACGTTTTCGGCAGATAATCTCTTGTTCTTCTGCCGAGAGATCATCATTATCGAACATGCAGCAGGCCCCGAATAATTCTAAACATTGTTTCTCCAGAGCTCGCCTTTTGTCAGGGGGCATTCGCTGCATGAGCTTGTTAAAGTAACACACTTGAGCAACACGTTCGGATAGCCACGGAACTAAATGAGACTTGAGCCGAACATTCGGGTCAACCTCAAGCTCTGACAAGACGAGTTTAGCATTATGCGCACTGTCGATTTCTGAACTGATGGGACTAGATATTTTAGGTCTCTTGATTTCTTTGATCTCAGATTCAACCGGGGACTGAGAGACTGAATTATTATCATGTTCATTGTCCGACAAATCTCGGCTGAGCTCCTCAATTTCTTGGCTGTCCAGAGGAAAGTCATCATCATCTGATCCCAGTAAATCTTTCATTATTTCTTCACAAGACTTGTGGCTGCTTCTGATGCTAGGAACATCAACTGACATTTTGTCACTACACGGTGGGTCATCAGCAAAGAGAGCTTGCAATCTATCATCTAAACTGTCATACGTTTTAGAGTCAGTCTCTTCAACATTCGATTTTGCTTTTTTGCCGACAGAGGAGTTCTCTTCCCCTGAAAAACTAGCTGCATAATCATCGATAATTTTTTTGACGATAACACTCTGACCTGCACAGTCATAATTGCTTTGAGGCGTTGATGAAAATGAATTTTCTGGCTGACTTTGTGCGCACCCTGTGAGATCCTGAAAGGAGCGTTTGCGAGAGTTGTTTCTCGACAAATGATTAGGAACTGGTTTGTGAGATGACTTGTAAGAATTGCCCGTGTGATTAAAAGCTTGCGATGGACTGAGATTTGCACTCATATTATCATGAAATGATTTGTTGAACTGAGGATTTTCGTTATGGCTGAGTGAAGTCCTACGACTCAACTTTGTAATGCGCTGACTTGAAAGCGTATCCAAGTCTGTCTCCGTCCAAGGTTTGTGATCCGAGGTCTGTACCCCTCGGCTTAATCTACAAGGACGAAATTCAGTCTGAATATTTTTGTCCTCACGGAGACATAAATAATCACTACAAAGGCATCTTCCTAGCTCTTTATTCAATTGGCTGTTGTTTGTGAGATTTTTAATATCACTTATCTGGAAAACAAAAATGATCCTCCGATGAAATAAGGATGGCAAAACTATAAGTTATTTTAGATTAATTACACAATAATGGATTTGCCGATAAATTTACATGTTTTTTCTCTCTTTTTTTTGTAATGATTGATGCGAGAAAAAAACCAATGTTGGAACAGCCACACTCTGGCACACCTTGATTCATTCAGAAAAACATAGAAAGTGAATTTACTTTAAAATCCATCCTAGTAACTGTAAAGTACCTAACATTTTCAATAACAGGTGCTCCCTTCCTTTACTGATTACAAATTATTTTGAGTTCAATGATTTCTTGGATCTGTCTCCTGGAAAAAATCTAAGTCTGGGTGTCTAAAACTCACGAGAAGAACATTCCCCATTTTTCCAGTATTTCAGGCGGGCAGAATGTTCACAAACTGGCGATCTGTATTTCGCGGGTGAATGGTGTACACTCGAGCAGTAGCCGCGCTGATTATTTGTTAAAATTACTTCCACGACAATATGGAATAGTGAGTAGGGAATATTTTCATTTTGCAGGTGAAAGCGTACACTGATGAACTTTCTACACTCCTACAGGATTTCCCTCAGCAAAAGGATCAAAACTCCTTGACTCTTTACTATGAGAAAATAGCTACCTTTTTGATTTGGACTTTAATCATTGTATTAATTAAAATTTCTAATTGAAACTTATTCTTCTGTTCACTATTCAGGTGTAAACCAGAACATTGAACCCTGAACCAGACTGACTCATTTTAGTTACAAAGACAGCACTGATTTTCTCCCCCTGCTCGGATTTCCGAAATTCCAGTCTTTTTCTCAAAACTCCCTGAATGTTCTCCAATTCTCCTAACTGGATGAAATTCTCCAAGAACTCCCAGTTTTTCTGATTTTCCAGATTTATAGATACCTAGTATGGTTTGAAAAACTCTAAGAGTTCACAGAACAGGAAGAAATAGTCACAAGAGTAAAGCATATACAAACTTACAATAGTGGCCATGGTTCTTTGATAATAGCTTGCAACCATGCATAACCTTAAAGCTTTCTGTTCCATTAGTATTGCACAGTTTTCAATGCGCTTTGTTATCATGTCGCTGCAGTCTTTGAATCCTTTTTGGCATTGGAGGTAATTGTTTTTCAGCGAATTTCGAAGATGCTGCAAGTAAGTCAGTCTGACCTACACATTTTAAGAATGACAACACATATTAGTACTTGATTTAAGTATTAACTAGGTCACTAAATTAAAATTCTCCCATTTTCGAAAAGTAGAGTTTGCAGTTTTTTTTTCTTTTGGAAAATATAAACTCAAAAGAAATAAGTTCGAAGTTGCATGTTTTGAGCTCTCATTCAAATGCACATCCCTCAGAAAGCTAAAATGACGTCCGAGAACAAGCATCTCACAACGGGTGCACTATCGACCATGCAACTCCTCTGTCGCACTTTCTAAAGTATACGTGTAGAGAAACGAATAATTTTCATCGCCATCTTGGCTTTCTCAGTGATGCATGAATAAATGCAAGAAAAAAAGCCTGCAAGAATCTTCAACAGGTAGTGTGAAAATCATACAAACCAGAGGCGATAGCAATATGCCATCCTCAAACTTGACCAAGTCTTCGTCAAAAGTATTATTGATATCCGTCTTCCAGCTTGGTAGATCTGTCTTTGTTTCTTCTTTCAGCATGAAAGCACTCACATTTTCCAGGATCCTGAAAAAGTTATACAGAGATATAGAGTCTACATAATAAGGTTCTTTCAGAACTTCAACATGGAATCTCCTCCAATTTCTCTTCAATATGAGATACTTTGTTCCATCTAGTGCTAACTTGCAGAGAGCTATGGTAAAGCATTTTTTGAAATCTCTCCTTTGCGAGCTTTAATGTATAGCTTCTTGGCAGCAAGTGGAAAGGCAAGTAACACATTCAGACAAGTCTGTTATTTACGGTGCAAACGAATGGACACTACCTATGTGGACATGCTCTTTATTTTCAAGGAAAATAACTCAGATTTAAAGTGCATTGATTATTGAGAATGGATTTTTTAGAATATTCTTTAAGCCTCCATGGTGTCCAATTGAAACATTCTTCTACTTACTTAATTGCTAACATTCAAGCGTTTCCTAAAATTCTTGCAATTCTCTCCTCTTAGAATGAAGTCATCTTTCTTGCTCTCATTAAGTTTAGTTGGCAAAAACTGTTGTCAACTTACAGCCTTTCCAATTGAATTTTCAAAGCTTATTTCTATTTTTATACATTTTTCTGATTTACTGCTCTAACTTCTGAGTAATAATATTAATTATATCTGCCTTCTTAAGAACAATCACTGATTCCAGAGTTAGATATAATCAGTGAGACAAGTTGGATTTTCTGGAAATAATACTGCAAATATACCTTGAAGCTAACTTTGTCTTACCAATTCAAATGTTCGGACCCCATGTTTTTTTCTTCTTTAATATATTCTGAAACAAAAGAAAAAAAGAAGCAAGTTGAAAAATCACACAAACTTGAAAAAACTGATCACAGGTTTGAGTTTTTCACAGGATCAAGGAGACGACGGTTTATGGAGAAAATTAATTGTGAGAGAGTGAAAAAATTGGCACCTACTGAAGTTCTATGCTCTTGAAATCTAGGTTGTACCTACGTAAATTTTTTGGGCCCTATATTTCTAATTCGGGTACCCCTCAATCAGTCTCAAAGATTGAGTGTCAACTATTCCTTTGTTTTTCATCATGCTTACATGAGCAAAGCAAAGTAAAACTGTAGAATTGGCGAACAGTAAAAAGAACTGCCTAGCAGAGGTGCTCACCACTTGAGCGAAACATGGAGACTCCCACTTTCCTGAAGTTCAATCGGCATTTCTTTGACCCATAGAACACGGCAGGGTTTGAGTGGTACGGTGGGAGTCTGCTCTTCCATGACGATTTGAGTACACTTTCATCTTGTGTGCTGGCACTAAACACATAGGTAAGTAAAGTACCTTATTCCTTGTGTTGGAAAACTAAAACCCATTTGTTACATGATGATGGTTAAAGCAAAGCAGTACTTAAGTAGCAAATAGTGTACCTGACAATGCTTCCTTTTTAGAGAGGTTTCAATCACGTACGGACATCGCCTCTGTCTGATTGAATTAAAAGCCTAGGCCCAGGTCTTACACAACTGTTGCAAGGATATGAATGGAGGTAAGAGCACCACTCACTGCAGTTATATCTTTATCCAGGCTTAATTCATGAGTTCACATTAGGAGTGGAGGCGAAAAGACTGATCACTGCATTCACTACTATAGAATGGAGGCGAAAAGACCGCTCACCGCATTTGGTATTCAAAAATTCAAAACAGAGGAGCTCTTGTGAAAGTGCTGAGCGCAAAGTCTTCTTCATCTTTTTTGGATAAGCTTCATCACCGTTAGGTATTTTATCTTCACTTATATTCTTCTTTTTCCACTTTAACTTGAGCTATTTTCAATAGCTCCACTAGAAATAGTTTCCAGGTGTAGGTACTGAGCCATTGGGGACTTACTTTTTGGAACAGCAGTGGTAAAAAATGAGACGACTGCTACGACAGAAATTTTTTGCTGATTCAGCTCTCTACCTACAAACAACTTCCTTACTTGCGTTGGAGAATCTCTTCTTTGAAGATCCTACATGGTGAAATATAATTGATTAAAATGAATATAAGTGGATAATTACTGCAACTTTGAGACGTAACACAAAACTTACCCCAGAAGAAAATGTTGCATTTATTTTGGGATTGAATTCATAGACTTGACTAGGGAACTATGGTATGAGAATTCAGAAGATTCAAATTGAAAATAATGTTGGCACTCAGGGAGCCCGTAATCAGTGAAGAGTAAACACAAAGTTTTGCATAATGGTAGATTAATTTAAACCACCAGTTCTGATAAAAGTAACACTTTGATCGCTAATTCTCTCGAAAGCAAGAAACGAAAATGTAAACAAGCTCCTAACCACAAACCACAATATTTTTTGCAAGAATCACGTGATGAACTGAAGTGAACGTTGAGGAAGAAGGGAGGGGAGGCAAATCGCAGAGGCTCAACGTTCATCACCTAGGGCGGGAAAAATGTGGTTTTAAAAAAAGTTCGCGAATAATTTTTTTTTTTTTTTTTTTTCTCAACGAATTTCTCATTCGTTTTGAAACATCAATATACTTAAACCATCAAATGAACGTGCCAGCGGGGGAGGGGTGCATAAGACACGTTTACTCGTGTTGAACACATTTTTTGGGAAAGCCCTGTCAAGACTCCTACCAAAATTTCACGAAACTTTGCGCGAAAGTTAAGTTTCGTAAACCTATCTCTGTGTGGACAAGGCCTTCCATTCTTAAGAAATGAACGAAAAAATTTTGAAAGAACAAACATAAATGTGGATTAATAATTTTAACTTCCGCCGCCGCGCCTCGCAGACCGCGCGTTTGACGCAATGCGAGAAGTATTCACGCAGTCTTGTAGGCGCTATGCGTTTCGCGCTGATCGCACTGTGTTTGCCGCGATGCGTGAAGTATTCGTGCAGTCTTGTAGGCGCTAATATGTGTTACATGTACATGCCGATTGCCGCGCCGAGGGCTTCTCCTTTTCATCTCAAGTCCTCGTCATCATCTCTCTCAAATAAGTCGCGCCGTTCCAGGCCAAATTGCGTGTTTGGTTTCTCTCTTAACTCGACTAATTAAAGGTGCTGTCTCTTCACTGAAAGACGACAAAATTAGAAATTACTATACTCTCAGGAAATGAGAGATTTTGTAGCCTTTTCTCGTTTGTAATTATTTTTTCTAAATCCGATTTTTTTATACCTACATTCAAAAAAATTGCAAAATTTGCCGCCCCCTATAGATTTGCCGCCATGAGCCGCAGCCCATGTGGCCACCCCCTTAATCCGGCCCTGAGGTACTGTATTGTGTAAGTAATTGGAAGTAGTCATTATTTTTGTAGTTACATTCTTTCGTGAGGGAGACGACGATGTGTGTAAATACAGTGAACATGATTCAAAGCAGAAAGAACTTTAGGCATAGGTACCTATGCATGTTCGGATTTGCCATTACGCTACAAAAGACATTCTGAGGGGTTCAACATGCTTGAGTGTTCATTCTGAAACGTGAGTTCACCAGTGTATCAGAAGTTTATTCATCGTGCCTCTTGTTACCTTTAATTTTCCAAATCGGGGTTTTTTCCGGTGTCAGTATTTTTGAAATTTTTTCTCAAAAGTGCTTGAAATCAAGCTTTTTCAAGACTTGGATTTGAAACATTTCCCCCGGTCACCCTCCGGAACAGTAAAATTTGACAGGTAGTGTGCAACATTGCAGACCAAGATCATCGGTTTGCGGTCTCATCTTCGATGTGCGTTACCTCGCAAGTTCGCCTTCAATTGATAAACTAGGCAAATTCGGGTGCTCCGGAGTTAAAATAGTTGTATTCACAAATCGATGGTTGGAATCGAAAAATGCCCATCTACCACAGCGATGCTGCAAATCTCCGCGTATATTGAAAGAGGCTATAAGAGCTTTTCTTGGCATTTTTTGTGAATTCTACACGGAGATGTTTACCAAAAATTTCAAGGACATATTTTTGCTAGTTTCCAAAGAGAGCAAGATGATTGGATATTTTTAAAAGAGGCAATGGAGATACGCATTTTTCGACTCGAGTCATCATTTTGATATGAGCAGTAGATGTCTCATATTGGATCCATCCGCTTTTCTTATGTGTCGACCTTTTCACAAGATGAGCTATTATACTGATCTCAATGTTCATTCAACTGCGTAGGGATACTGCAAAATTTAGGGTAATCGACAAGTCTATGTCCTTTTATTAACATCCCTTTCTCTCCATCCCTCCTTTCACTCCATTTTGGAAAAAATGAGTCGAGATCAGTTTAAACTCAAATACTTAGTCGAGAATTTCTTCCCGTCAAAAATTCAAAGCCGAGAAAAAATATTTTAAATGTAAAAATGACCATTAAACTTTGTCCTTGTCTTATGGAGCATTACTCAAACTTCTTTTCTCGGTTCAGGCTCGACTGCGTTTCCATTGGTTGATCCAACAACTTGGCAACATTGTCTTTTCTCCATTCAAACCCATGGAAATCGACATTTGGAGGAGCCAGGTTCTTCGGGCAAGAATCGATTATTTAGCATAGGTTTAAATGGAGGAAATCCGGTGTTGCAAAATTGCTGGATCCACCTCTGTGCGTTTCTGTTATAAACTTGGTCCAAATAACCCACGATAGGATATTTCCTACGACACATATGCGAGTTTTTTCTAATTTCACGCGGATGAAAAAATCAATCTATTATCTTGAAGTAGGTTTAAACTAAGTAATTGAAACAAAATACCTACACTGTTTTAAGATATTAAATAAAGGTTATCCCGTTCTATTAGGTTTAGCGAAAAACAAGAACAATCACCCCAAATTCTATGCAATCACAATCTGCCCGAAAATGACAATAAATATAACAATTTTCATCCCGGTTTGTTTTTACGTGCTAGAGGATAAAAACTCATGGCACTGAAGTGTTACGAGGGGACGGGCGGTAGTGGAAAAATCCGAAATTAATTATTAGCGTTACGTATTTTATGAGCGGCTCCCTATTGAAAAATAAATGTCGCAGGCAAATAGTGAAATCAGGCATTTTGTCAAATGCCTGGGCAGATAGTTAAATTTTGACGGTTTATACAAAATTTTGTGAATTCGTGGCGGAGGCCTCACGAATTTTCAATATTTTTGGGAAAATAACTCATGGAACTTACGATCTCTTTTTGTCTCTTCCTCTTCAATTGCTTTTCATATTTTAAAATGTTGAAATTCCGAAAATTTTGTATTCTATGACATGCTGAAAATTTCAAGATAAATGGCTGCTCAGAAGCTAAAAGTTGTTTAGAATACTATTGTGTGATGCAATTTTTTACTGAGAATTTAATCTCACACGAGCAATGAATTATTTCGTGTAAAATTAGGAAAATAATCAAAATTTCAAACTAAGTTCGAATATTTGACTATCTGCCTAGGCATTTGACAAAATGCCTGATGCTAATGATTATGATTAATATATATATATATATATATATATTATGCTACCTCTCCTTCTCTATTGCTAATGATTAATATATATCATCTCTTCATCTATTAATTTAATATATATAGGTGCTTTTTATGTCAGCACTTAAATATTACTAAATATATTACTTTATTTATTTAACTTAACCAAAATTAAGTTAAAATTATTAATATTTATAAATAATTTCAATTTATGTCTAGTACTGTTAACATTATTTAAAAATGTTAAATAGAATTAACAATTTAATGTAGCAGCCTGCTTAGTTAGTTAAAAACAATTCATTTTTATTATAAAGTTTTTGGCCTGCGACATATACACCTCGGGCGCAGAGCCGCACCGAATTATTCCCGCCAATAATTCAAAGCCCGCAGAGCAGTTTCAAATTTCAGTCGCTCGACGCGCCAATCACAGCCGCGATCGTCCCCCGCGGTTTCAGCTCCGCCCCTCGGCGCCGAGCGGCAGAAACGACTGAAACAACATCTCATTCGTCCCGCCTCGCAGGAACCGGCCGGAAGCGCCCCTGTCACGCGGTTCCGTGTTTTAGTTTTTTTACGCAATTCCGCGGGTGGTAAGTGAAATGTGTCGATCGTGTCGCCATGTGCCGATGAGATAGTTTTCCGTGTCTGTTCTGTGATTTCGGATGATGGCCTTCCCAGGGAATAACGTGCATTGCAGAGGGATAAAATTGTCCATCAACGCGAAGGAGAGAGAACCTAAGGTGAGTCATTTGGCTCATTCCCAAAGTTTCACAGACGTGAGTTTCTCGCTTTTCCCCTTGGTTTTGATCAGTGACGGACCCGAAGGATGGCATCGTCTCCTTCATTCTTGAGTAAAAAAAAAAAAACAAAACAAAAAAAAAAAAAAAANAAAAAAAAAAAAAAAAAAAAAAAAAAAAAAAAAAAAAAAAAAAAAAAAAAAAACATTAAAAGACGTCAATGACAATAAGTGTAGCCAATATGAAAAACCACAAGTGCCAGTTAATAACCACACAATTTTAGTTATCGTGCCTTTAACCCTCTATGGCAAGAATTAATTTGGAATTTTGGATTCTGCAGGACGCAATAAATCTACGCTGTAGGTAGTTTTCTTAAAAACATTAATTTCCATTTTATTTTTGTAAAAATTTCCAAATTTCGATACTCACGTTTTCTAAAACAAAAGCACTAATACATAACTATTTGGGACATCATGCCGCGCAGGAATGATTCTATTTTTGAACCACCAAATAATGTGTAGTAGCGAAATTGTTACATGCCATAGAAGCCACAAGCACCGTTCAATTACTTTCTACTGTACTTTCATGAGTTTTTGCCTTTTTTGCTGCTCATATCCCTTTTTTCTGAAACAAGTGTTCAAAAAAATGCTGTACCTACCTAAAATTGGGGAAATCCGTTGGCTTTTATCGGCACAATGTAAATTTACGCCCCGAATTTAGATCTAAGGGTGATCGTTCTGAATAATTTTCAGTTTTCTCCGCCCATAGCGGGCCGATTATTGAAATTTAAACCAGCCCGATAAGACATCGAATTGCGATATATTGCACGGTTAAGATAGGGCTATATCTTGTCGTAAGCGGCGACATAGAGTCGATGACATTTCAATAAACACCCCGCTGGAGGGGGAAGAGAGGGGGCTCTCAAATGGCTCCTCCACTTCCTTCATAGTCACCCTTTCGATCCACCCCCGCGGGTCGATTGCTAAATTGTTATCGAATGACCTTGATCGAAATGTATCATTATGGAGGTAGGGAGTTATCGATCAAACTCATTCGATGACGAGTCAACAATCGACCCGCTGGATCAATTTATATCATTGTGAAGATAGGGAGTTATCGATAAAACTCATTCGATAACGATTCAACAACAATCGACGGCTGCTTTGATTTCCGGCCTGGTTTCCACTTGCTCACTCTCTAAATTCCGTTTCTGATTGAATGAACGTCAGTAAGAATCTCATGGAAAACAGGGACATGCAATAGTAAGCTTTGTTGAGCTATCACATGCGCCATTTGATTTCCCTGGTAAAAATTGGCAGTAGAATCTGTGTTCCAAAATACCATAGACCTACGGCCGGCTGTAAGATTTCCAATAGCTTCTATAGCCGGCTACACAATTTCTTACAGCCTTTTATAGCCGATGGCGACCAAGCAACTCACAGCTAGGCGATAAAGTGTGAGCTAAACGTCACTTATTACGGATGCTAGGACTTAGTGAGTTTTTGGACCACTGCTCTCTTTTTGGGCCGTAGTAACTTGATTTATTTTGCGAGGAAAGCTTCGTACTTTTGATGGATGCCTGCCATTCCTAATATATTAGAGCGCCTTCAGTTTCATATGATACTGTGCAATACCTCTGGTGTGAAATAGTTGCTTCAAGCGCCGTGGCACGCGGCGGTGCGGCAGCGGGCAGCCAGCGCGAAACGCGCATTGGCGCCTACAAATCTAACAGGGATACTACACGCGTTGCGCAATGCGTGAGGTATCCCTGTTAGGTTTGTAGGCGCCAGTGCGTCGCCGCTACGCTTTGAGTTAGGCTCTAATATTAAATCTGGCGGAGTCAGCGTTATTCAACTCATGATTTTGAAATGTTTGCACATCCTGTATGGATTATTCTCATTTTAATTTATGAAAAAAATATGTATTAAAGGAAAATATGATGTGTGTTTTGTAAATATTGAGGTGGTTCCGTATCAAACTTAATGATTTCCAAAGCACACAAATTTCTACACAATTTCTTATAGCCTTTCATAATAGACGGCGAAAAAGCAACAGCCAGGCGATAAAGTGTAAAGCCCGGTGATAGTAACTATAGCCCGGCTGCATAATTTTTATCGCTTCGTATAGCCCGGCCGTATATTTTCTCCGCATTCTACAGCCAGCTATATGATTTTCTGTAGCCTTCTTTAGCCGGCTATAAGAATTCCTATGGTATTTTGAAACGCAGCTCTTATAGCCAATTTTTACCAGGGTTGATGAGAAGAAACATACATAAATCCTAGTAAGCCCAATCCCAAGTGTTGCTAAGATTGTGCAACTGGTTTTCTCACAAATCGGGGATCCACAGTGGCCTTAAAATAACAATTATGATAATAAGACTTGAACCGTGAGAAAAATTTTCTTCAGCGTCTACGAAGCAGTGATATTTACGTTTTTTTTTTCTTTGATTTTTTTTTTTTTTATTATTAGGAGCACTCGGTCTTCGGGCCCGTGTAAGGAAGAACGCCGTGTGAACATTCGAGAGTCGCTAAATTTCCCCGGATGAAAATTTTTTCCGGAGGAAAGTTGTACATAGTTTTCCTTGAAATTTTGAGATATTTTAGACTAAAGTGTGCTTAAAATTGTCTGAAACGTTTGAAGAAAAATATCTAACATTTTCCGTGACAATTTGTATTTTATCGTGGAAAATTTGGCAACGCCTGATGGCTCATACGACGTTTTCCCTTGGCATGGCAGTGATGATGTTTGACTTTCCACCCTTCAATCGTCCATTAGTCCAGGATTTTTAGATAGGTATTTTTTTTAGATGAACCAACGAATTTTAATACGAGCTCATCTCAGCTTCATGATTTTGAAATTGGCCTATTCATTAATCGATGGTCAGCTAAAAATGATGAGATCTGAGCGAGCATGTATGGACACATGACGTCATTTTGATATTTCACAGTCATGCTGTCATAGTGCACATATACAGTCTTTCCACTCTAATTTCATCGGTTTAGTCACCAGCTTAGTTAACACCAGTTGCTCAGGGGCCATGCACGTCACCCATTTCCCCCGACTTTTTATACCCCCCGCCTCCCCCTTTGTTATCTACATGCCACTCACCTCCAGACCCCTCTTTCCCTTAAAATTACGCCGTTTTAAGCGCACACCCCCCACCCCACTTTATGTAGATACGGTGTCGATGCAAACCTTTGCTATAGGTGAATCACACGTCAATTCCTCTGGTAAAAATGACTCGAAAACAACGTTTAGCACACACGAAAAGTCTCCATCCTTTTCTCACCGAGTATGCTCAAAGTGTCACTGTTTTCAAAATAAAGTTTAAGACGCTAGTAAGTTCCTTTCTTCAGACATGTTCAGACAGGCTGCGCTTTTGAATTCACAAGATTACACTATGTCATAATCCGGTGACTTCACTTTTGCTTGATACCCCCATTTCCCTTTGTAACATACATGTCACTCACCACAAGATCCGCATCTCCCTCGGTAATTTATGAATGGCTTAATAGACGTGCTTGTCGAATTGTCGAAATTTGGTTGGAAAAATCAGGAAAGTTTGGCGAGCACTAACTTGCTAGACGACGTCATCAGTTTTCTTCACCTGGATGAGATCTCCGTTAATAATGGCTATGGGAAGTCGGAATTTGATACACTTTTTCGTGTTTTTCAGTGGCGTGGCAGGCTTTACAATATATCGGATTGATCTGCCATTTAAACCTATCGAAAAGGATCGATTAAACAGGGTGTTCGCAACGAACACCTCAATAATCGATTCTCAATAAAAGCTTAAAATGGTGGAAATGTCGATAATCGATCATTGGTGTTTTGCTACTTTGTGACCGTCCACGTGAGAAGAACCTATGCGCCTTCAAAATCAGAAGCTAGCAAAAACAATACCGGCATGCGCGAATAGTTATCTCAGCTGCACCGTCCGAGCTTATAGTGAACAAAAACTCAAAATCGAGTCATTGATATCAGAGCATGGAGGGATTTCATACAGACGTATTGGAATAAAAATCCCTAATAATGGCAAACCAAACTACAACTACTGTGGTTTGAAGTTTGCAGCCCAATTAACGTAGTTTTGAGAAAAAGCCATTTAAAAAATTCTAGGCTGTCATGTTCAGTGCATGAAAATGTCGCTTTGAAATGCAATCTGTGTTGGAAAAATCAGCCCATATTCACTCGCAACTTACTTTCCAAGTCCAGTTCCAGTACGAGAGACGAGAGAGTGTACTTACTCGATCAAAATGCCAACATCCGATATATTGCGATTCAATCCGACAAAAATCGCTCTGTAAAATATTTTCCCTCCATCGATTGAGTACCCACTAAGGAGGCTTTTTGAGGCCTACTTTTGCAAAAAGGAACTGCTTTTTTGGCTGAACCATAAAAGCACGTATTTACATGAGGGAACATATTAGCACTTACCGCTCAATGAATCGGAAAACAGTGGTCCCTTACTCCAAAATGTACAGCCCATTTGTGGCTTTCAACAACCACGATCGGTGAGTCAAAATCCGATTTATTGCGATGCAATCCGATTAAAATCGCTCTATAAAATATTTTTGTTTCGTCGATTGAGTACCCACTACAAGGATGCCTTTTGAGGCCTACTTTTGCAATGAGAAACTACTTTTTTGGCTTAACCATAAAAGCATGTATTTACATGAGAGAACCTATTAGCACTTACCGCTCAATGAATCAGAAAACAGTGGTCCCTTACTCCAAAATGTACAGCCCATTTGTGGCTTTCAACAACCACGATCGGTGAGTCAAAATCCGATTTATTGCGATGCAATCCGATTAAAATCGCTCTATAAAATATTTTTCTTTCGTCGATTGAGTAGCCACTAAGGAGGCCTTTTTAGGCCTAATTTTGCAATAAGGAACTACTTTTTTTGGCTGCACCATGAAAGCACGTATTCACATGAGAGAACCTATTAGCACTTACCGCTCAATGAATCAGAAAACAGTGGTCCCTTACTCCAAAATGT